GCCGGCGCGGGCCGGGCCGGTCAGGCCCTGGGCGAGGCGGGCGACCCGCGATGCCGCCGCCCCGCAGCTCCGGTGCCCTGGTGCGGCTGCTGCCCGTGCTGGGCCTGCTGCTGGGCGGCGCCGCGCGGGCCCCCGGACGGTCGCAGGGTGAGTGGTCGCAGCGCGGGCGGCGGCGGCGGGCGCGGGACCCGGACCAGGGCGGCGCGGCCTGGGGACCTGGGGACCTCGGCGGGGTCCGCACTCGGCGTCCGCCGCGGCTGCTGCTCTCCCCGCGGTCCGCGCGGCGCCGCCCCGCGCCATTGTCTCGCGGACCCCCGCCCAGGCCGGCGGCGCGGTGGGGACGGGGACGCGCGGGGGCGCGGGGCGATGCGTCCAGCCCGGCTTGGGGTCGGGGTCCGCCCGCGGCGCCGGGAAACAGCTCGAGGTGGGCGGCACGGGGCAGGTGCCAGGTCCCCCACCCGATCGCCCCTCCCCTCGCGGACCCGGCTGGAGGCCCGGCCAAGTGGGCGTGGGTGGGGGCGGGGCGCGGGCTCCATCCGCACCCCCACACCCCATACCCAGCGGGCAGGAAAGGCCGGAGGCGTCTGCTAGGAAGCGGGGTCGGAGCGAGGGAGGAGGTCGTATTTCTGCCTGGAACGAGGCGGACGCCGTGTGGATCCCGCTCTGGGGGCTGGGTAAGGCTCTCCCTGCCTCAGCCTCCCCTGCGCTGCCAGGCAGGAGGCCCAATGTGGACAGAAGTCCCTCCTTCAAGCCCTGAACCCGGAGGGGCCTCGAAACCAGCTGGACTCAGCCAGCTCAGGGCTGTGCAGGGCTGGGGGGAGCCAGGCTAGGAGCGGGTGGGAGCCTGCAGGCGCTCCCACCTCCTCGACCTACCTCTCCCCTCGCTGGACCCAGGCTTCCCTCGGTGACCCTGGGTCTCCCCGTCACAGCTGTTCTGTCCACCTGCTCGTTCCGGGGCCCGGCCGGTCACCAGGCCTGGAATTCCTCCTCGGGGCTTCGGCCCGCTCCAGGGTCGGGCTGCCTGGAGGGAGAGAGCGGCCCATTCCAACAGCTGGGTGAGATGCCGGGGCCAGGCGTGGCCTGTTCTGCGTGGCAGCCTGAGACACCTGTCGCTGCCAGCACAGGCCCCACATAGAGGCCTCCCAAGCCCTGCTCAGCTGCAGACTCCCCACCCACCCAGGGCCCCAGCCATGATCCCCAGCGCTGGCAGCCAAGTGGGGTGAGGCCTGGGTGGGGAGGCTCAGGCTGAGAGGCAGAGTGCTAGGCAGGGCGTCCAAGGCACGGAGCCCTTGGGAACCCCTGTAGCCCTCACTCCAGGAGCTCAGGATGCCTGCAGGGCCAGTCTGTGCCCTGCACCCCAGGCTCCTGGGGCTGGGCCCCCAGATGCCTCCCCATGCCAGGCCCCAGCTTGGGCCTGATCCCGACGGAGGACAAGGTGTTCCCATGGTTACTGATGGCCACTGACCAACTCTAGACGGAGGGGGAGGGCCTGGGAGACTTGTTTGGACCCTGCCAGTGTATCCCGGAATCCCAGGGTTGTGTAGAGGCCTCTGGGTGAGGCATGGTGAGGAAGGACTGACTGCTCGTCAGTGTCGCGGCCTCAGTTTCCATCCATGTGCACTGCTCAGTCTTGAGCTCTCCCCTCTACGTGCAGGCCCCTGTTCCCCCACACCCTCCTGAGTCAGCCTTCTTTTCCCTGTCCTGCCCTCGGACATGCACCTTCCAGGGTCAGATGGCCGAGTTTATCTCCCAGGGCAGACTCTCAGGTTCAGACCCCAGGCCTCTGTAACTGTAGCCCAGTGACCTGAACTCTGAACCTTGGCTGTGAAGCAGGTGAGAGCACGGATGGTCAGACCTAGTACATCCCTGCCCCTGAGATGCACCTTGACCAAGCCAGTGGTCATAGCCGCTGCCTGGCGGGGAAACACTGAGGTCCGAGGGCTGTGTGTGATAACATGGCGGAGCAGTGCCCCTGCCTCCTGCTCTCCTGCGGGGAGGCTCAGATGAACAGCCCAGGATTGTGGGCGCAGCTGGGGTGGGGCTCAAGTGGAGACTGCAGAGCATGCTTGAGGCTCTGGGTTCAGTTCCCAGCACGGAAAGCAAATGCATAAATAAATGGTGGCTCTTATTACAATATGTCCTCTGGCTGGGTGTGGTGGTGCACACCTATAATCCCTGATACTTCGGAGGCTGAGGCAGGAGGATTGCAAGTTTGAGTCTTACCTGAGGGACTTAGTGAGATCCTGTCTCAAAATTTTGGAAAGGGTTGCGAGTGTGGCTGGCTCAAGGCCCTGGGTTCCGCCTGTCCTAGCGCAACACGTGCTGTGGCATTGACCCCAGAGCACTCCCAGCCAGAAGCCCCTCTGACCTCCGGGCGCGGTCTTGCCCACAGAGATCCTGATCAAGGTGCAGGTGTACGTGAGTGGGGAGCTGATGCCCCTGGCCCGGGCCTCGGTGGATGTGTTTGGGAACCGCACGCTGCTGACTGCTGGCACCACAGACTCTGAAGGCGTGGCTACCCTGCTGCTCAGTTACCGCCTGGGCACCTGGGTGCTGGTCACCGCTGCCCGCCCTGGCTTCCTCACCAACTCGGTGCCCTGGCGGGTGGACAAGCTGCCCTGTGAGTTTGGGGTGGGGCAGCAGTGGACCCTCCATCAGCCCCTTCCCAAAATAGCCCCTGGGGGTGGGGGACTTCCCCGCAGCTGCTGCAGGGCTGGATGTGGTGCCAGGAGCCCCTGGGGCCGCTGTGGGGCACTGGAGCTGACAGGTCCCCACCCGCAGTGTACGCGTCTGTCAGCCTCTACCTGCTCCCAGAGCGGCCTGCCACCCTCATCCTCTATGAGGACCTGGTCCACATCCTGCTCGGCTCCCCGGGTAAGGCCGCCCCTGCGCCCCCCACGGGTCCCCCACCCTCTCTCTTCCCTGGTGCTGTGGCTGGGTGCCCTGGGGCAGTCACTTGCCCTCCGTGCCGCCCTTTGTCTGAGCATCAGGTGCAGAAGGACAGATTCTGCATCATCAGATGGAGGCTGGGGTTAACAGGAGGGGAGGGAAAGCCAGCAGAGGGCTCTAGCTGCTGTCTTCGTCTACTGGGGCCTCCCCAGCCCCTTTTCCCGGTGTCCTCCTCCGGGCGATCTCCAACAGTCAGCTGTGCTTTCGCTGTGTCTGAAAGCCAGGGCTTCAGGGGAGAAAGGACAGACCCAGGCCACCGGGGAATTCACACACAGATCCTGGATGGGACCCAGGCTGGCAGCAAGGGGTGGCTGCCTCAGTGACAAGCTGTCCTCACCTCCACTGCAGCCCTCGGCGGGGGCTTGGAGGAGCGAGAGGTGGAGAGCAAAGCCTGGCAGAGCCTCAGGATGCAGGGCCCAGGGGAAAGAGGGCCTGGGAGTGTCCTGGCCTGTCCCCACCTGGCTGCGGCTAGGAGCCACAGTAGGCTTTGGAGGGGACGAATCCCACTCCAGGTTTAGCTCTTTTTGCCCCGCTTCCAGCCACTCCTGTTCGCCATCTCCACCAATAGCTCCGATCCTGTATTCCAGGCCTCTGACGGCCCATGCAGGACCCTGAAAGCCACAGCAACTCCTTGTCCCAAGCGCACAGCCTCCCCAGCGCACCTGCCGCTGTCAGCCTGGACCCCCACAGCTAGCAGGGATGCGACGTCCAGCCTTGGTGTTTTCGTGCCAGTCTTCGAAGGCCCTTCCCACGGGGGTGGATGGGAGGGGCCCGAGGGCGGCCTGCCCGGGGCCTGGGCACTAGTCCAGCTCTGGAATGGCAGCCTTGGGCAAGTCACTGAAACCCAGCCCTGTCTGTTCTATGCAGAGAGCTGGTTATGTAGGCACCGTGTCCCTGCCGCGTGACTAGGGGCCACGGGGGCGGGGGGGGCCTGCCGGGAGCGGGCTCACATATTCTAAAGCTTAATAAATGCAACGCCTCACAGCGCTGCACCGGGGTCCTGATCATGTCTCCCGCCCCAGCACACGTGCACACACGTGCGCACATGCACCCTACACCTAGCTAGCAACACGGGAGCCACCTGTGTCTACTTAAACTGAAATAATTTCAATTAAAATTAATTAAATCATTAAAAATTTAGTCCAGCTCCTTAGTCACAGTGGCAGCATTTCCAGTGCTGAACAGCCCCCGTGTCCAGGTACAGAACAGAGCCCGTTCGTCCCTCAAAGCAGCAGCGCTTGCAGGTCCCCACAGAGTGCAGACAGGAAGGGGAGTCGGTGTCGCCCGCCCCGGTGCTGCTGGAGGCCCCGAGCTGCCTCCGCGCAGACCCTCAGGAAGCAGTGTCAGCGGTCGCGCAAGGCCCGTGCCGGGTGCCCTTCCCGGCCACCTTCTCCAGCCGCCCAGTGGCCCCAGGCCCCGCTCGTGGACGCCCGCCCTCTCCCCGCAGGCGCTCGCTCCCAGCCCTGGGTGCAGTTCCAGCGCCGGGCCGCGCGCCTGCCGCCCAGCGCCACCTACAGCCAGCTGTGGGCCTCGCTCACGCCCGCCAGCACCACGCAGGAGCTGCGCGCCTTTCCAGCCTTCCTGGGCACCGAGGGGCCCGTCGCAGGTAGGCGGGGGGGGGGGGGGGGCGCCGGTCTCGGGCCACGCTCACCCACGCCTCCCTCGCAGGCAATGGGTCCTGGCTGGAGCTGGCGCCGCTGGCGGCCGTAAGCGTACAGCTGCTGGCTGGCAATGGCTCCGAGGTGCCGCTCGCGGGGCCCGCGCACTTGGCGCTGCCGCTGCCCTCCGAACCGCGCTCCCTGGCCGCAGGGACAGGCGTCCCGGCCTGGAGGTTCGACCCCAAGAGCGGTGAGTGCGGGCTGGGCTGGGCCGGGGCGGAGGGGCTGGCGGCCGAGCCCACACTGACGCCTCCGCCTCGCCAGGACTGTGGGTGCGCAACGGCACCGGCGTGATCCGCAGGGAGGGCCGCCAGCTGTACTGGACCTTCGCCTCCCCGCAGCTGGGCTACTGGGCGGCTGCCGTGGCCTCGCCCGCGGCTGGTGAGCGGGGTCCCGGGGCGGGCGGGGTGGAGGAGGTGCGGCAGGGCCTGACCTTGGCCTGCGCAGGGCTGGTCACCATCACGGCGGGCATCGCGGACTTCGGCGCCTACCACACCGTGTTCCTGCTCACCATCCTGGCCGCGCTGGCGCTGCTGCTGCTCATCCTGCTGTGCCTGCTCATCTACTACTGCCGGTGAGTGCGCCGGGCGCCGCATGGGCACCGCGGCTGGAGTGCACGCTCCACTGCGCGCCCGCCCGAGGTGCTGAGGCCGGGCTCCCCCGCAGGAGGCGCTGCCTGAAGCCCAGGCAGCAGCAGCACCGCAAGCTGCCGCTCCCGGGGCCCGCGGACGGCGCCAGGCGGGACCAGGCCACCTCGATGTCCCAGCTACACCTCATCTGCGCTGGGCCCCTGGAGCCAGCGTCTTCAGGGGACCCCGAGGCCCCGTCGCCCGGGCCCCTGCACTCCGCCTTCTCCAGCGTCCTTGACCTGACTGCCTCCCGCGAGGATTTCTTCCGGGCCAAGACACGCGGGCCCGGGCCCGCCACCGCCGAGCCCCCAGGGGCACGCGGCGGGGATGGGGCTGGGCTTCGGATCACGCGCACCTCTGAGGAGCCAGCGCCACCGGGGGCCGCTGCCTTCGCACGCGAGCCGCCCTCGCCACCGCCCTTTGAGCGCCCCCTGGGCCCCCCGGGCGCGGCCAGTGGCCGGGACCCCGCCTTCCCGCTGCCCGTGGCTGACCCGCCCGGGCGCCCCCCTTCCCTGGGCGCAGCGGGGCCACTGCTGCTGTGTGGCGCGCTCGACGCCCTGCAGGACAGCGTGTACCGCGGCGTGCTGCCGACCCTTGTCATCCCCGCGCGCTATGTGCGCCTGGGCGCCGAGGCTGGGGCCGCCGCCGGGGGCTCAGAGCCCGCTGCGCCCGAGGGTCCCTCGCGCGCCTTCCCCGCGCCCGAGCCTGCGCGTGCCCTGCCCGCCCCCGGCCCCGCGGCGCCGGTGACCATCCCGGTGCTGCTCGACGAGTCGGCCGTGGCGCAGCTCAACGGAGAGCTGCAGGCGCTGACGGAGCAGCAGTTGCGCGAGCTGGGCGTGCGCCCCCCTCCGCGCGCTTGGTTCGTGTCGCTGGACGGGCGCTGCAACGCGCAAGTGCGCCACTCCTACATCGACCTGCAGGGCGGCGCGCGCGCAGACGCCGGCCCCGACCCTGGCGTGGACGCGCATGAGGCGAGATCTGGGCGCCCCCGCCGCCCCACGCGAGATGAGCGCGCTCCCCCGCCGCCTGCGCCCCCACGCCTGGCCCTCAGTGAGGACACGGAGCCCAGCAGCAGTGAGAGCCGCACGGGGCTGTGCTCGCCAGAGGACAACTCGCTGACACCGCTGCTGGACGAGGTGGTGGCACCCGAGGGCCGCGCGGCCACCGTGCCCAGGGGCCGGGGTCGCAGCCGCGGGGACAGTTCCCGCAGCAGCGTGAGCGAGCTGCGGCGCGACTCGCTCACCAGCCCGGAAGACGAGCTGGGCGCTGACGGTGGTGACGACTCAGGCGACAAGAAGAGCCCCTGGCAGCGGCGCGAGGAACGGCCGCTCATGGTCTTCAACGTCAAGTAGTCCGAGGGGCCCCGGGCCGCCGGGCTGGGCGAGGCCGTGGGGGGCCCGGGGTGGGGGGCCGGGCAGCACCAGGGAGGAGGGCTGGGGGCACGCAAGAGGGCGACCCGGAGGTTCCCAGGGAGGGGAGGGGGTGCTGCCCAATACGGGGTCGCCCCTGGGCTGGGAGGTCCCAGGGTGGAATGGCTGGGGTTCGTGGGATGCCAAAGGGCAGCAGCAAATATAAAGCCAGTGAGGGTCACACACGTGTCTTTCTGTGGGGTGGGGACCCTGGCAGGGGGAAGAGAAGACTGAATCCGACATGGGTAGGAAGCGTCCAAACTTTACTGGAGCGCACACACGCACACCTGCAGTGGGGACAGCACCTGGCCACAGGAACGGGTGGGGACGGCGGCTTGTGACGCGGCTTCTGCCACAGCCCCCTCGGACAGGAGGGCCACAAAGTGAGGTCCCCCCTGACGAGGGGACACTCAGGAAGGAGTCAGAGATGGAACCCAGGAAGGCCTGAGCGTGGGCATCCCAAGCGGGCCCCAGGGCCAGCTCCTCACAGCAGCAGTCTCGGAGCAGGGCCCCACGCCGGGCTGTCCCATCGCAGCACTGTCTTCCTGCGGACGCATTTGGTTCCGCGGCCTGCACATCGGAAACCGAAAGGACAGCAGTGGCGCCGGTCCACGCAGCAGAAGCCCTGGGGGGCGGGGAGAGTTGGCCAAGGCAGGACCGGCCCCACGCCTGTGCCCAGGCCAGCGTGATACTGACCTGGCGGAAGGGGCAGCAGGCCCAGCGCCCCTGGCTGTCTCGACAGCAGGTCTGCTCGTCACGGCAGAAGCGGCCGTCCCCGCACGCCACGTCGGTCACCCTGCTGGCGGAGTGCAGGCCCAGGCGGGCAGCCGGGTGGGCAGCGTCCAGCCCCTTCTCGCAGGACCGGGCCTTCACGTTGCAAGTGTAACCCGCCGGGCAGCAGTGCTGGCGGTCCTCACAGCACACGGCCTGGGGGGCGCTGGTGTCAGGCACTGGCCTGTGGCCACTCTGCCAGGGCTCCCGACCCCCACGGGTAGGCAGGCACTCACATGTGGCAGCTGGCAACAGGCCCAGCCCCCGCCCAGGCTGGGGCAGCAGGTCTGGCCCACCGGGCAGCTGGTGTGCTGGTCACAGCCGAGGTCGCCCACGCGGGCCAGGGACAGCGGGTGGGCGGGCGTCTTTTCCATGCCCACCCCCGGCCTGTCCATCTGACACTGCCCCTCGGCTGTGCACAGGTAACCCTGGGGACAGCAGTGCTCATGCTTGGAGCAGCAGACAGCCTCCGGGGTGGGACAGCAGCCCCATCCCCCAGAGGCGACGCGGCAGCAGGTGTTGCCTGGGGGGCAGCTGGTGAACATGCCGCAGGGGACATCGCCACTCTTTGGCGGACTGGGGCCGGCTGGGGTCTTCCACGCCCAGGGCACCTGGAGCACGCCCTGCTCACACGTCCCCTTCTCCATGTGGCACGTGAATCCCTCAGGGCAGCAGTGCACGCGGTCCTCACAGCACACAGCCTTGGAGACAGGGGACAATGGGCCGAGGCCTCCATGGCCGCCCCCACCCGGCCCTGGCCCTGGGTACCTTTGTGAAAGGGCAGCAGCCCCAGGCCCCTGACTGCAGGCGGCAGCATGTGTAGCCGTCCGGGCAGCTCACCTCCTGGTCACACTCCACGTCCCCCACTGCGGGCAGGCAGAGGGCACCCAGGGTGCCCGCCCTTGAGAATGGGCCCAGCGTGTGCCACCCACAGCTGTCCTGAGCCGAGGAGGTGTGGACTGGATGGAGGGGTGCCTGCCCAGAGCCTGGTGCCCTCAGCGCCAGCCCCATGTGCCCAGGACAGCCAGGCAGTCACCGGTACCTGTCCAGGAGGGCAGCATGGGGAGCAGGGCCGTGGCCTTCTCCCGGGACAGGCACTTGCTCTGCTTCAGGTCGCACACAGTGTCCTGGGGGCAGCAGTGCAGGTGGTCGGAGCAGCAGATGGCCTGGGTGGGGGCAGGGACGGGCTTGGGGACAGTGCCAGCACCAGCATGGGTCCCACGTGGCCGAGAGGACACAGCCAGATGGCAGCTCCACCCGCACTCACGCTGGGCATTGGGCAGCAGCCGTACTCCCCACTGGGCAGCTGGCAACAGGTGGTACTGTCGGGACACTGGGACCGCTTGTCGGGGCACACGACTGATCTGGGCAGGGCCGCTGGAACGGGGGTGGAGGACGGGCCGGGCCCTGGCCTGATGCCTACCCCCTCGGCACCTGTCCACTCCATCCTCTGGGCAGGGACCTTCCTGGCCAGGGGCTGGGTGCCGTGGGCATGATGCCGCAGGTGTGCACCAGGTCACGGGAGGCCCCATGGGCACAGCAGTGTACCCTGTCCTCACGGCAGGATGCCTGGGAGGAGCTGCTCTTAAGCCCCTCTGCCCTCATCCCGCTCTCACCCGGCGTCCCCAGCCACCCATACCTCAGGCAAGGGGCAGCACCCCCAGGAGCCGTCGGGCATGCGGCAGCATGTACAGGATTCGGGGCACTGGAACTCGCCACCTGGGCACTGGACAGCACCCAGCAGGTGGTCCCCTGCGCACAGGAGGCCAAGGATGCCACCAACGTGCTCCGTCACTCAGGGAGCTGGGGCACCAGGGCCCATGGCCCAGCCACGGGGGATCCCCAGGACCCCCACACACACTCCCTACCAGTCGGGGCCTGACTAACGATGCCAGAGGGCATCCACCAAAAGCAGGCACGGGGTCAGCCCCGCTCAGCCTCTCCCACCCAGCGCCTAAGCCCTGCGTCCCCTCCACCCTGCCTGTCCCCCGTGTCACACCCATGGACAGGGGCTCAAGTAGAGGAACCTAGGGACCCAGCAGCTGGGCAGCAGGGGTGCCAGGCCCATCCCCTCCCCACCTGCCTCCTCAGCCACCTGGCCACACCTGGTCTTCGGATGCAGGTCCATCCATCGGCGCTGCAGGAGAAGCCTCGGGGACAGCAGTGGCGGCCATCCCCACACACCTCAGCCTGGGGGACACAGAAGCCTGCATGGGTGAGGACCCCCATGGGGCAAGGGGTGCAGGCTGCTCGAGGGCAGATGGAAACCTCACCTGTGAGAATGGGCAGCAACTGGAAGTCCCCAAGGCGTTGAAGACACAAGAGTGCCCGGTGGAGCAGTGCTCGGAGCTCTGGCAGGGGCTGCCCAGGTGCCCACTCAGGGTTGTGGGCCACGTGTCCTGGCAGAGAAGGAGATCATCCAATGGCCCAGCTGCCTCCCGGGCCACCCCGACGCCAAGCTCCCCGGGCTCCAGGGACTCACCACTTCTGGGTCACAGCAGCTGTAGCCAGCTCCTCCTGGACCTGGGCAGCAGGCCACTGGGCAGACCCGACCATCTGGGCACCGTGTTCCAGCCACCAGCCCCGCCACCAAGGTGGCCCAGCCCACCAGGGTCCACATGGTCTGTCTGTAATGGTAAGGGTGTGGCCCGGAGCGGAGGCACCGGGCCAGGTCCACAGCTCTGTATCCAGGCAGCAGAAAGTTGCGCTGCACAGACACGCACTGCAGCCAGGAGAACACAGGTGGGTTTGTGCCCCGCCCCGTCCCGCCCCGCCCCACCCGGCGTCTCCCGGGCTCCAGAGTGCAGCTTGTGGCTCTGACGTGTGGGCACAGGAGGCCTTAGCAGCCTCAGGTGGGGACAGGTCGGGGTTCAAGCAGGGAGGCCTCCCAGGAAAAGGGCTGCTGCTGCCCCGGCCACATCCTGGCCTGCTCTAGACTCAGCTGACCTCAAAGGCCTGAGGAAAGGGACCCATCACGCAGTTCCTCAGGAAGCCAAGGGACTGGCAAAGCCGTTAGGAAAGAAGTGCCATGTCCAGGGGGACCAGGGCTGCCTTCCAGGGCCAGTCACTGCTGCCCACAACCATCTCCTCCGGTTTCTGAGCCCACTGTATCCTGAGCCCCACACCACCAGAGCCAGCCTGGAAACGAAACTCAGCCCATGTGGAAGGGCCTGTGCGTGCAGGGCGGCTCTGAGTCAGGAGGAACCAGGCTCTCACTTCCCCCTGGCGACTCCTGCTCAGCGGCCCCACAAGCTCCCCAGGAGAGAAGTTGCCCTGCCCTGGGGAGCAGTGGCAAAATGCCTGAGCTGGAGGGTGGGCAGTTACAAGGAATCTTACTGTATTTCAAAGAAGCAACTGAACACCCAGACATTAACGCGTGCAGGTCACACACCAAGTCCTACAGTAAACCTGGGTCCTGCCAGGAAAGGCCGGGTGACGGGCAGAAGAGGGAGGACCAAGCGACGGGAGAGGGCCCGACAGAGAAAGGGAGAGAGACTGCCTGGAATCGCCCTTGGGTCCAGACCTCGAACCGCCTCAACCGATGGCAACGCTCTCTGCACCTGCTGCTGGCCTGCCCGTGCCTCGGTTTCCCAGGCGGCGAGGTGACCGACAGTCCTCTCCTTCTCCCCTCCCCAAGAGCCCCTTTCCTAACCCGGAGAACGACCCAGGCCCTTTCGCCCCGCGGCCTCGAGCGAAGTTCTGCAACCCCGGGGCCCAGTCCCCCGGGCAGGCTGTCCCCAGGCTTCGGCACCCGGGCCCAGTCCGCGTTGCCTTCCAGGTCCCCGAGGTTGGGGCGCGAGCCCCGGGGGCAGGAGGAGGCCCAGGCAGCCGCCCCGGCTCCCGCCTTCCGCAGGTGGCACCCCAAAGGCCAAAGGGAAAGCGGTTTCTCCAAAGGCGGGCGACCAGCGGCAAAGGCGGGGCCGGCTGGTCCTCGAAGGGTCCGGCTCGGAGCTGGGAACCCCGCCACCAGGAGGATAGCGGCGCCTCGGGCGGCGGGGCGACCCGTGAGAAGCCTGCGCTCCCGGCACGGGGGGCCCGCTTCGTCCCGCCCCCGTCTCTGTCACCGTCGCCGTCCCCGCCAGGCTCCTACCTGCGTACAGATCCGCACTCTCCGCGGCCGCCCCGCGCCCCTTCTGGCTAAAATCCGCCGTGAGAGCCCGCCCACCTCGTTCTCATTGGCCAAAGTCTCGCGCCGCTGTGAGCCTATTGGTTTCTCGTCGAAGAGAAGGCGGGGCCAGGCTGCACTCCCGGCCCGGTTGAAAGCGTCACGTGATCGGCGAGTCATGTGCCCGCACCCGCCCTCCCTTTGGCGTCTGCGGGTGCTTGGAGTTTTCGGGAGCCGGGGCGAGTAGGAGCCACCGGGTGGCCGGGGCGGGGGCGGGGGCAGGGACGCCCGCTTCCACTCAACCAGCTCGGATTACACCCCCGCCGCCGGGAGGGGAAGGAAGTTGCTGGGCGGAAGGTGAACAACCCAGGCCGCTTCCTCAAGGCCCAGGTGGGGACCAGGCTCAGGCCAAGTCCACGTTCAGGGGCCAAGTCGCGTGCCGGGCGCTGGAGGCAGGTGAAGGGAAGAGATAGGAGATCGGCTTCAGGTGTGGAAGAAGAGGTTTAAATCCCACCTCGCAGGGTGCTGCATGCCTATCCCAGCCCTCTGGGAGGCTGAGGCAGGAGGATCAAAAGGTTTAGCGAGACCCTGGCTCAAAATTGAAAAAGGGCTGAATGTAGCTTAGTGGGAAGGCCCTGGGTTCAGTCCCCGCGGCAGAGACAGGAACAGATTGAAACTGAAATTCGTTTTGGGAGATTCGGTGGAACTATCTGGGAGATTCTGAGGGCAGGTGAGTGGGGTTTGGAGACTTGGCTAGCGAGTTAGAGGTGCTGGAAGAGTCCAGGAAACCAGAAGTACCGGGGTGTGTACATGGAAGGGCAGCCTGGGAAGGGGATGAGGGCCACATTCAAGGCCAGGGGTAAAGGGCTGCTGGGTGGGAGCACGCTGTTGAGTGGAAGTGGCCTTCAGCTCCAGGTGGAGGTGGAGGATACACCGGGAGGGAGGAGAGGCCCAGGACACCCGTGCTGGGGCCTGGAGGAAAGCAGCGCTTGCTTCTGCAGGAAGGCGGAGAGCCCTGCTGGTGGAGCAGAGAGCTGAAGCTGAGGACCAGGCTGGGGCAGGACGAATAGCCAAACTGAGGTTCGGGCGTCTGGGTTGGGGGAGTGCAGAGGTGTGGAACTGTTTGGCAGGCTTCTTAGCCGGCAGCCACTGAGGGCCGGAAAGTGGGGGCTACTCCTGCATCCTGGTGAGGTTTGTGCAGATACCAGTCCTGTGGGGCCCAAGACGGAGGAGAGTCGCTTATGGTTTCAGTGATACACACACACTCACAATCTTCATGAAGTGGTAGACAAATCAGTAAATGGGTGTATTGGTCACAACCAAATAGAACAACAACAACAAAAAAATGGAAAAAAAAAAAAACCTAATGTGACCAAAACACTGTAACTCTAATCTTCAAAGTAGTGACTCCCACCCAAGGGTGATTCTGCCCACCGAGGGCAGTGGCAGGGCCCAGAGCCAATCAGCCTGTCACCCCTGGGAGGGAGGTGATGTTGAATACCCTCGAATGCACAAACATCATCCCGCCCCGTGTGCCCCCGCCACTGAGGTCAAGAAACCCTACTCTCCGGGGCCCAGGATCCTGAAGCTTTCCTCACTCAGCCTCCCTTCTCTTAGTTCATACACTCAGGGGAGTGGGGGTTACAGGGGATTGAACCCAGGGCCTCACTCATGCTAGGCAAGTGCTCTCCCACTCAGCTCCAGCCACAGCGCTTTTAAAAAATTTTATTTGAGAGATCTTACTGAGTTGCCCAGGCTGATCTCAAACTTGCAATCCTCCTGTCTCAGCCTCCTAAGTAGCTGGGATTCAGGCGTATGCCTCTATCCAGCTTATTTTATACACATTTAATAAGCTTCATTGTCTGATTTCCCTCTGACAGATTATAGAAAGATCAGAGAGCTGGGAGTGTAGCTCAGTGGTAAAGCACTTGCCTAGCACCAGGGTATGTGCATGGAAGTTTCTAGAAATTGTCACTTTGAGTTTAGCAAAGGTTAAAAGCATTCAATAGGAAAAATTGCAAAAAGCAGATTGAATACCTTAGAGGTCCTGGGCTGGGGATATAGCTCTGTGGCCCAGTGCCTGCCTGGCAAGCTCCAGCCCCTGAGTTTGATTCCCCGTGCAAAAAAAAACCACCTTAGCGACCCCACATATGGGGGACATGGGTTATAGGGGTGAACCATCCTGTCTGCAGTCATCTCTCTTTTTGTTGTTTTTTTCCTGTTGTTTTATTGGCACTGGGGATGGAACTCAGGACCTGTGTTTGCCAGCAGGTGCACTGCCACGGAGCTACATCCCCAGCCCTTGCTGTTCTTTCTTTCTTTTTTTTTTTTTGGTACTGGGGATCGAACTCGTGTCCTTCCTCTTTCGAGGCAGGCGACAGAACCACTGAGCTAAATCCCCGGCCCCTTGCTGTTGTTTCTTGAGACAGGGTCCGCTACAGAGCCCAGGCTGGCCTCGACCTCCCAGTGGCCCTCCTGCCTATTTGCCCCTCCCTGTGGCCTAAAGGATCTCTGCATGACCTCCCCAGGTCAGCCTGGCACTGAGTCCCAGACTTGCTACGGGACGGGAATCGCCGTCGGAAGACCCCTGACGTGTTCTCTCCTGTCCTGAGTCCATGGCAGCGCCCCAGCCTGCAGCTCCCAGTGCCCGGCCAGCCCCTTCCGACCCCGCTGGCTGTGTCAGGCAGGTGCAGTCACTGTAGGTGCGCGTGGGCCACCTGTGGCCTTCCAGAGCTTTCTCTCCTCCTCCTCCCCACCTCCTTTCTTATCCTGCTTAGTTTTTGGGTTTTTTTTTTTCAGTACCAGAGATCGAACTCAGGACCTTGAGGAGCAGGCATCAGAACCACTGAGCTAAGTCCCCACCCTTGTCCTGCTTAGTTTTAAACACATAATTGGACATCTCTCAGACGGCTGTCCTGGCTGGGTGAGGGTCTTCCCGTACTCTCTGTCCCTGCATGTCTGGAGTGGGTTTGGGTTTCCCTGAGTTAGAAGAGGGCGCCCGCCCAGCTCTCCCTGCCCTTCTGTGTTTGGTCTGTAACAAGTGCTGTGGCTCAGTACGTGCGATCCTGCTGGCTTCTTTAATAATGAATGCTTGAATGGGCTCTGCAGCATTCCTTTCCAGACGCTCCCTGTGCCTACACAGACCCAGGGCCCTGTGTCCTTCTTCAAGGGGAGGGGGAAGGAAGGAAAGAGAGAGGGAAAGAAAGATGGAGCCATAACATGGGGTGGGGATGTAGCTCAGTGGTGCAGCGCATGCTGTATCCAAGGCTCTAGGTTTGATCCCCAGCACTATAAAAAATAAAATAAGAATTTACAAGTATTTCCTGGCCCATCGGGGTATGGTGACGCTGGCCTATAATCAAGTACCTTGGGAGGCAGAGGCAGGGAGATCGAAAATTCAAGCCCACCCTCGGCAATTTAGTGACTTATAGTGAGATCCTGTCCCCAAAACAAAAACAGACCAGGCATAATAGTCCGGGCCTGTAATCTCAGCATTTGAAGCTGAGGCAGGAGGATTGCAAGTTCAAGCCCTGGCTGGGCAATTTGCTGAGATCCTGTCTCAGTATAAAAAAATATAAGGGGCTGGTGATGAGGCTTAGCATGATGGCCCTGGGTTTAGTCCCTTGGACCTAAAAAGATAATTGTTTTTGTTTTTTGAGACAAGGTGTGGCTGTGTAGTATAGGGTGGTCTTGAACTCTTGGCGCTGCTCCTGCCTCAGCCTCCTGAGTGCTGGGACAACAGGGGTGCACTCCCATGCTCAGCAATAGATAACAAGTTAGAAACTGCTGGCCGTTTCCACTCCTGCTGCCATGGGTGTCACCCATGCCTTCCTCACTTGGCTTCCCAGGCAGAGATGGCCCAGTTAAATCTGAATTCCCAGGTGGAAGGCCGATTGTTTTTAGCCTCAGCACATCGCATGTCCACACTGAATAACATGTTTAGGTGTAGTTTTTCAGACGGGGAACTGGCAGAGCCGCCCCGTATGTGTGAAACGCAGACTCCTCGGGCTGCAGAGCCTGAGCCCCCACCTCTGAGTCACCGCTGAGCCACGGTGGCTGGGCCAGGCCAGTCTCTGCCCTCACAGGCGCCTGACTTAGGGCTCCAGGGCAGTGAGGGCAGAGTGAGTCACAACGTCGAGCCCAAGAGGTGGCCATCACGTGAGGGTCACACCCCTCCTGGTCACCTGGGGGTGCTCAGCGCCTCTCACAGGAGAGGAAACAGGCTCAGTGTGGCCGCAGGGTGGGGAGGTGCAGTGCCCGGGTAACCCCACCCCTCCCTCTGGTGCCGGGTCAAACCCAGGCCCCACTCCCCATCTGCCAGCGTCTGCCCCCACTTGCCTTTTTTTCAGTTCTGGGATTTGAACCCAGGGCCTTTCCATCAAGCTTGTTTCCTTCCTAGACCTTTTTAATTTTTTTTTTTTGTACCGGCAATCGAACTCAGGTCCTTGTGCTTTCAGGGCAGGCGGTGGAACCACTGAGCTAAATCCCCAGTCCCTTAAATTTTTATTTTTTAAATTTTGAAACAGGGTCCTCACCACGTTGCCCAGACTGGGCTCCAACCTGCAGGGCTCCCGCCGCAGCCTCCTAGAGGGCTGGGACCACAGACCTGCGTCCCCACGCCTGACTTCTGGAAATCTGTAATAATTTTTGAGCAAAGCAACCCGAGTTTTCATTTCCTCTGGACCCTGCAGAAGCCTTGGGGCCCAGGTCCCTCCCAGCCTCTGTCCCTCACACTAAGGTGTGACGCCTGGCTGGGCGTCAGGTGCACACTTGTCACCCCAGCACTCAGAAGGCTGAGGCAGGAGGATCACCAAAAGTTCAAGGCAGCCAGCCTGGGCTACATAGGGACCCTATCCCAAAAAACAATGAAAGCATCAAATGTGATCCCATGGGGTGGGGGAAACCCCAACCAAAGACCAGGGGCTCAGATACCCTGATCCATGTGCTCTTGAGCTGCTCTGGGATCCACTCATGGCTCACATCTCAACCCCATGGCCCCGCTGGGCAGGGCCCATGTGGTGGCCCGGCCGGTGTCACGCGTCCGCGTGGCTGAGGGGTGCCGGTCCCCAGCCTGCCTCTCCATGCATGCAGGGACTCTAGCAGGGTACAGCTGGCTGCCAGGGCCACACTCAGAGTTGAGAGCCGGACAGAGCGAGAACCAGGACTCTGGTTGCTTATTTCTGGCAGTTCTGGGGATTGAACCCAGGGCCTTCACACTAAGCCACATCGCCAGCCTTTTTAAAATTCTGAAATCTTGAAACGACACAGGGTCTCTCTACATTTCTGTGTCACCCAGGCTGGGCTCCACCTCACGACCCTCCTGCCTCAGCCTCCCAGAGTGCACTGCCATCCCAGGCCGGGACTGAGGTTTGCTCTTCATGTTCGTTTTATTTATAGGACTCTTAGTGAGGACAGGCAGTTCGGATCCTGAGACGGGGAGCAGGCGCGGCGCGGCCACTCTCCCACCGGAGCCCTGGTCCAGACTCGGACCGCTAGGCCACCCTGTGCCCATGGACAGCACCAGCCTCGCACAGCACAAGTGTGTCAGGCTCCTGGCACACCTGTCACCCCCTCCCCGGTTCTCAAGTCCTGTGTGCCTGGCCGTGGGCCCAGGTCACCGTCCCTGAGCTCTGGTGACAGCTGCGCCTGACACCAGCTGACCAAGTCCCGGTCTACCGTCCCCACCAGGGCCTGGATTCCTAGTCTCCTCTGGCAGGGCTGGCCCTGTGCCCCAGGTGGCTGAGGTCCTGAGGCCACACCTCCCACGGCATCTCGGGCGCAGGTCTTTGTCCGGGCACAGGCGGGGGGCGGGTGCCCGTTTTCGGGACGGCATAGGCTCTGTGGTCACCTGGCTGGCCAGGGCCGCGCGCCAAAACCACTCAGCCGAAGCCTCTCCCCGCGCCTGGGCGGAGCAGGGCCGGAGGCCTGGGCGTGGCCAGGTCACAAGCTACCTCCCCCCACCCCACCCGCGACTCCCAGCTTCCACCGGAAGGAAGTAGGGGCGAGGCTGGAGCACACCCTTCCCACTTTGCTGATGAAGACAGGCCCAGCTGGGAACCAGCCCTCCCCATTGTTTTGGTTTTGAGACTGGGCTTCACTACGTAGGTAGTGCAGGCTGGCCTCAAACACGTGATCCTCCTGCCTCAGCCTCCTGAATGATGGGTCACAGGCATGCGCCACCAGGCCTGGCTTCTCTTTGAATCTTCATCGTGGGCACAATCGTTACTCCCGTGGTCTGGCCATGCTGGGCGGTGATGTGGGACACATGAGGCTTGGCAGCCTGGTGGCCCTCCTTTCCAAGGCCCTTTAAAACTCCAGGTCTGTAATACCACTACTTGGAGGCTGAGGCAAGCAGATCCAAGTCCCAGCCCAGCTTGGGCAAATTAGTGACTTAGCCAGACCCTGTCAAAAAATACAAAATGAAAAATGTAAAGGGGCTGGGGATGCAGCTCAGTGCAAAGTCCCTGGGTCCAACCTCAGTCCCACAATGAAAAGGAGGCGGCTGAGCGGGCCTGCAGGTCTGAGTCACAGCACGTCTCTCCTCCCTGCGGCTGTCCGGGAAAGGGAAGGCGGGCGAGTGTCCAGACTTCTGCTGTGTGTCCTTGCTGTTGACCTCCCGCCGTGTTAGGGCGTCCTACCCTGGGGACACTCAGCGCCCGAATGCCCTGACTCAGCGTCAAGCGCCAGAGGCCCCGATGTTGCGAGGCCCGCTAGGGGGCGCTGCGCGCCTGCGTCAGCCCGCGCGGTTCTGGCGGACCTGGGGCCTTCGGACCCACTGTCCCCGGACGCGGCACGCAGCCCTCCCTGGACGCGGGGACCGGATCCCAGGGTGGCCTGGCCGGTCAGGGTTGGGCACTGAGAACCAGGAATCACGCGTGGCCAAGGCCGCCTGACACAGAGGTCACATGGCGACATCCCCAGCTGGGCCAGTCCGGACTGTAATATTTCTGGTTCTTATTTTATTTATTTAGGTACAGAGGGCCAGGGGTTTAGCTCAGTGGTTTCGCCGCCTACTGCGCAAGCGCAAGGACCCGAGTTCGATCCCTGGTACCAAATAAATAAATAAATAAATAAATAAAAAACCATGATATTTAGGTACCAACGATCGAACTCCGGAGCTTGCGCTTGCAAGGGAGACGGAGGCACCACTGAGCTGAATCCCTGGCCCTATTTATTTTTGAGGCAGGGTGTTGCTCTGCAGCCCAGGCTGGCCTTGAACTCACTATGTCGCCCAGGCTGGCTTCCAAGTCCCAGCAGTCTTCCTGCCTCAGCAGCCTCCGGAGTGCTGGGGTGCCAGGTGTGTGCCACCACTCCCGGATCCAAGATCAGGCTTTGGCCAGGCATGGTGATGCACATCTAAAATCCCAGGACTCAGGAGGCAGGAGGATCGCTGCAAGTTCAACGCCTGAGTGGGCTACACAGTGAGCCAAGCCCAGCCTGAACTACATAGCGAGACCTTGTCTCAAACAACAAAACCAAAAGCAATAAAACAAAGATCAGGCTTTGGTGGGCGCAGTGGTGCACACCTGTGATCCCAGCAACGGGGAGGCTGAGGCAGGAAAATTGCAAGTTCAAGGCCAGCATCAGATACACAGCAAGGCCTTGTCTCAAAAACAAAACCAAAGAGGGCCAGGGATTTAGCTCAGTGGTTCCGCCGCCTGCCCTGCAAGCACAAGGACCCGAGTTCGATCCCCGGTACCCAAAAAAACAAAACCAAAGATATTTCCCAGAGCTGGCTCAGGGGTCACCCCCTTACTCCAGTCCCACTCCCAGCCATAAACGCCTTCTGGGGCCCTGGGTGTTCTTGAGAGCCGGGCTCGACTGCACTGGGAGAGTCTGACCCTCAGGAAAGTGGCCCTGGGCGGCGGCCAGGACCTGTCCCACTACCCACTACAGGTCCCTTTCCCCTTGGCCTGCTCAACTGGGTGGGATGGTGACCCTGAGCAGTGTGACCCTCGCGGGGCCAGCCAGGGTAGGGCTCGCGGGTGCCCCACTATCCCTGACGACCCCTGTCTCACGTCAGCGAGGCTCAAACCATTGACCTGGCAGGAAGGTGGGGATGCGGGTGCCCCGCTCGGGCCCAGAACCATCTGCAGACCTCCGCGTGTCCCCGGTACTGAGGTGCAAGTCTGGGACGCGGTGGCACGCAGTGTGCAGGTGAGGACCCTCATGCAGTGAGTTGGCAGAGATTCTAGTTAAGGCAGCGGGCGCAGGCCCACCCGCTGTCATTCCAGGGTGCTGGGAGGCCGAGACAGGCGGATCTCAGGTTCCAGGCCAGCCTGGCCATGTGGCACCGCCTCTCTCGCGTGGCCTCCAGGACTTTCTGTCTGTGAAATGGAATGTGAGGACCCCGCTTCTAGTCCACCCCAGGAAGGCGGAGCACAGGGCCTCGGCACCCCTACTGGGAAGCGGGCTGAGGCTCCTCAGGCTGGGCTCTACGCATGCTCGGAGCCCAGAGCCCCTCCGAGCAGGGCAGTGCGCGGACGACCGGCGCACGTGCGCGCTGACGTCACCGCGGCGCTCGTCTTAAAGGAGCAGGCGCCGGCCCGCGTGTCTGCACAAATGGTCGCCGCGGCACAGGCGCGTTAAAGGCAGTGGGCAGTGGAGCGGCCGGTGCAGGCGAGGGCGCGACCGAGAGGTCGGGTAGGGCCCGCCGGTTGCCGGGGGCGGGGTCGTCCCGACCACTCCTAGCTCGGAGCCCCTGTTCCGGGTTCTGTAGAATGGGGACGCCAGTCCCGGCGGCAGCCGCCTTGAGGAGGAAGTGACGACGCGACAGGGCCGGCCCCGCCGTGGGAAAGTCCCGCGGCCCGGGACCCGGGGCCGCCGCGGTGAGCTTGCCGGATGGTGTGTCGGGGGCGGTGCTGTGGGCGGGGCCAGCACAGCGGGCGGGGCCAGCGTCGAGCTCCAAGGCCGCCTGCGCGGCCCCCGCACCGGACGGACGGGCGCGATGGGGCCGCCGCGCTAGCGCTGCCGGATCCGGTGGGCCGGGCCGGGGCGGGGAGGTCGTGGGGGTCGTGGGCTCGGGGACTCGGGAGCTGGGGGCGGGGGGGAGGGGCGGCTCTGGCCTTGGCTGGCTGGGGTGTCGCCGCTTCCCCCTCCGGTCACCGGGCCCCGTCCGTGGCCCGTCCCTCTGTTGGGCTGGGACCGATCCGGCAAGGGGCGGGTTCCGGGACAGGGACTGAGGGCGCCCGCCGGCAGGCTGTGGCCTTTGTCGCCGCCCGCAGGAGCGCACCTGTCGGCCAGGTGCTGGGGATGCGCGGCGCTGATCTGGGGCCCTCCCGCCCCGCGTGACCTTGGGCCTCAGTTTTCACGTTGGCAGAACGGTCCTATCCGTCCCTGTGCTCTCGTGACTGAGGTTCGCCCCCCAGGGCTTCAGCTGGACAGGGCTTCAGCTGGACATGGCTGAGCGGGACCCCGGGGGCGTCAGCCCCGTGCAGCACATGGTGGCCTCCGGTGCGGGGGCGGTGGTTACCTCGCTTTTCAGTAAGAATCCGGCCGGGGCGGGCAGTGGTCGGGACCCGAGGTGGGAAGGCTTGGCCTGGGGTCCTCGAAGGGGCCTCAGCCCTTTGTCTCCCCAGTGACACCCCTGGACGTGGTCAAGGTCCGCCTGCAGGCCCAGCGGCCCTCGGGGGCCTGTGGTGAGTGCCCTTGGGTGTGGTGTGGGCAGCACCAGGGTCCTGGGCAGGGTTCTGGACAGGGGCCCTTCGGTGACTCGGGTACCTGTGTTACAGAGCTGCCCCCTCCCTCTCGATTCTGGAGAGTCTCCTACACCAAATGTGAGTACACCAAATGTGAGGCGCATCCCTGGGCACCTGCCCCCCGCCCCACCCTCCTGACGCTCCTCCCGCCTCAGGGAAGTGCCTGCTGTACTGCCACAACGTCCTCCAGCCCCTCTACCTGTGCCCCAATGGCGCCTGCTGCAGCCCCTGGTTCCAGGGTCCCACCCGCTTCACAGGCACCATGGTGAGAGGGGCAGGGGCTCCTAAGGGGCCCTGGGTGGCTGTAGGTCCAGGCTGCACCGGTGCTTGGGAAGTGCTTCCTGGAGGGCTCCCCCAAGATTTGCCTGTGGTGTCGGGGAGGGAACCCCGGGGCCCTGCTGCTGAGCTCCATCCTAACCTTGTGTGTTTTGAAGGATGAATAGGAGTCCCCCTGATGCTGTCGGGGCAGCTGTCTGTGTAAGGCTGGAGGGTTCTGGCTGCCCTCAGCAGGCCCCAGGGCAGCATCAGAGGGCATCAGGCAAGGGCCTGGCCTGGGCCAGCTGCTCACAGGCTTTGCTCTTGTCCCTGTCCCCCGGCTGGTGCCCCTATCAGGATGCCTTTGTGAAGATCGTGAGGCATGAGGGCCCCCGGACCCTGTGGAGCGGCCTCTCGGCCACTCTGTGAGTCCCCGTGTTGCTGTCCCTTCCCTGTTGGCCAGCTGGGGGATATGGGCGCACTGGAAGGCTTGGGAACCCCAGGGCCCCCGTTCACTCTGTGCCCACTGCCAGGGTGATGACTGTGCCGGCCACTGCTATCTACTTCACGGCTTACGACCAGCTCAAGGCCTTCCTGCGCCAACGAGCCCTGGCCTCCGAGCTGTGTGCACCCATGCTGGCCGGCGCGCTGGCCCGCTGTGAGGACACCAGGCCCAGCCCTGCCCGCCCCACCTGTCCCCAGCCTCTGCCACCTGGGGGGTGGGCATGGTGGAGTGGGACGTGTGTCCTGACCCTTCTCTGTCCCCCAGTGGGCACCGTGACCGTGGTCAGCCCCCTGGAGCTGCTGCGCACCAAGGTGCAGGCCCAGCACGTGTCCTACCGCGAGCTCGGTGCCTGTGTCCGTGCTGCGGTGGAGCAGGGGGGCTGGCGCTCCCTGTGGCTGGGCTGGGGCCCCACCGCCCTCCGCGACGTGCCCTTCTCAGGTGGGGAGGGAGACCCTGGAGGGGGCGGGGCTAGGGAGGGCCCAGGCGCCAGGGTGGGAGTGGAGCCCCAGCAGCTCAGAGGTCTGCAACTAGTCCTGCTTCATCACTGGCGGCTTCTCAGAGCCGGGGTCTGCTAGGACCTGGATGCACTGGCCCCGGGGCAGCGTGGTGGCTGTGGGTGAGAGCCAGGCCCCGGCCATCTCACTGTGCCCATCCTCCAGCACTCTACTGGTTCAACTATGAGCTGCTGCGGAGCTGGCTGTGCGACCCCCGCACCCGGGACCAGACGTCTGTGGGCATCAGCTTCGTGGCCGGTGGCATCTCAGGGACCGTGAGTCACTGGGGGCCTGGGGGAGGGGACCCATGTGGCCTGTGAGCCACCAGAACCTGATGAAGAAAGCCTGCCTGCCCCAGGTGGCTGCCGCCCTCACCCTGCCCTTTGACGTGGTGAAGACGCAGCGCCAGGTGGCGCTGGGAGCCGTGGAGGCTGTGAGAGGTGAGCTGGGCAGATGGGGTGCACCAGGGTCCTGCTCAGCCATGGCCCCGTGCAACCCAGAACTCGAACTCGAATTTGAACCCGCAGTGCGCCCACCACAGGCTGACTCCACCTGGCTGCTGCTGCGGAGGATCCGGGCCGAGTCGGGCACCAGGGGCCTCTTCGCAGGTATGTGCATGTCCAGGCAAACGTGTGTGTGCGTGCCCTCTCCAGGTGCACGTCCTTGCTTGTGCCCTGGCCTCCCCTGACCCTGCTGTGCTCCAGGCTTCCTCCCCAGGGTCATCAAGGCTGCGCCATCCTGTGCCATCATGATCAGCACCTATGAGTTCGGCAAAAGCTTCTTCCAGAGGCTCAACCGGGAGCAGCTACCCAGCCGCTGAGGCTCGGAAGTGCTGGCCAGTGCCTTCTCCGCCCACGTAGGGCTCCTCCCCTCCCAGGCCTCTCGGCCTGTGCCCCAAGCTCCAGACCAAATCTCCCCCGACACACACCCCCCTTGTGTTTGCTGCCCCAGCCCCCAGGAGCTGACAGCCCTCAACGCCTTCGTCCAGCTGTGCATTCCCTTTCTAAAGATGATGATGAACTTTGTGTGCAGCCATGACTCATGTTCCTGGGACACAGCCGGGCTGGGGGCCCCATGAAAAAGCCCTCTTTTGTAGCAGGTGTGATGGCACCCGCCTGTGATCCCAGCACTCTGGGAGGCTGAAGCAGGAGGACCCCAAGTCTGAGCCCAGCCTGGGCAACTTACAGACCTAGTGAGACCTCGCCTCAGAAATCAGGAAGGCTGGGGGTGCAGCTCAGTGTGTGGCTCAGTTCAGACCCCAGTGCCATGCGCACACAAGCCCTGCCCAACTTGGGTGGTGCGGTGTCGGGGTGAGGACCCACCTGGTAGTGTGTTGCCCCAGAACAAGAGGGGACAGGAGGGAGGCTGCGCTCACAGGGCCCGGGCACCCTGTCACACTGTCACCTTAGTTACCACAGACCAGGCCACCCTGAGTCCTCTGGCTTTTATTTGCTGGACCCCAGTGCCCGAGTGGGGCTGGGGAAGGCTGGTTCCGGGGTGTGCGGGGTCAGACGGGAGGCAGCAGCAGGGGAGCAGCCAGAGGGATCTGGCCAGGCCTTGGGGCCTGCAGGAGGAGGAGCGGCTCCCTGGGTCCCTGGTGTGGTCCCTGCCCACTGTTCCTCTTGGAGCAGGAAGCTGAGGCGGCGAGGTCTCCCCAGGGCCCCTTGGCTGGGCTGGGGAAAAGCACGGGGGCCAGAGCTGCACAGGTGGCGTCGCCCATGCTCAGCTGGGGCTTAGGGCCGGGCTGCCCTCCGGGCTGTCGCTCACCAGGCACTCGTTGGACTTGAAGCTCGCCAGGGACTTGCAGCTGGGGATGGAGGCCAGGGAGCCGCAGAGGCCCAGCATGGAGGGCGTGGGGTCCTTCCCTGGGGAGAGAACGCGCGTGAGCTGGCCGGGGGTGGGTGGGCGGGAGGGGCCATCCTTGCGTGGTCACCGGCCACCCTGTGCTGCGTGGCTGGGACGCTATCGCAGTCGGTCCGCCTCCCCGAGGCTCGGCCCGCTTCGTTTATTAAAAGCGCAGGGAGCAACGTTGTGATTCAGGCACTAGGGACACAGGACAGGCACAGCCCCTGCCCTCGCGGAGCTCACAGTCTGGGGGAGGGACACCTTCACGAGCACAGTGTGGCGGCCCGTCCCGGGAGGCCTAGGGCCGGGGCAGCAGGCTACGGGGGTCGGCGGGGAGGGGCGGGGCAACAACACGCATGCGCTGGAGTCCAGGCGTCCACGCGAAGGGAGCCGCTAGAGTGGCTCCAAGCTTCCTGGCAGCCAAAGAAAAGGGGAGACAGGGTCAGGCAAGGGTCCCTGTGCTGGAGGCTGGAGCAGCTTGGTCAGCCTGGGGGTTCGGCAGCGTGAGCCCTGGGGTGTCCCGGCGGTGGGCGACGCTGATGGCTGCCCACGCCCCGTTTGCAGGTGGGACCCGGGCTCAGCTGCACAGCCGAGGGGCCGCACCGGGTTCACTGTGGGTTTTCCCGGCACCGCCAGGGTGAGGCTGGGGTGCAGGAGCGGGCGCGGGGCTCACCAATGGGGCCCCAGGGCTGGTCGTCCCGCTTGCCCTCCTCCAGGCGCTGGGAGTCGGAGCTCAGGCTGGCCTCCGCCGACAGCGGCTCAGTGCTCAGGAAGCTGTGCCTGGCAGCGGGGAGAGGGGTGGTGTGGGCCGGCCCTTCCCTGCCTCGGACCCCTCCCCGGGACCCCCACCTCCCGGGACCTCTTCCCCGACCCCTCCCCCCCAGGGCCACTACCCCGGCTGTGCGTGCCATGCTCACCTCCGGTAGAGCTTGGGGTTGCTGGCGCCCTCGGTGCCGCTGAGTGTCCCCAGCAAGGACCACTGGTTGACCAGGGGGGTGGTGAGCTCCCTGGAGGCCTGGGCCAGGAGGCCATGGTCACCGGGGATCAGACCTGTCCTGGGAAGGGCGCGGTGTGGGAGGAAGGGGGCGCGGGTCAGGCAGGGCAGGTCCCTTGGGTGGGGCTGGTGGAGCACAGGGGTCCCCCAATGACGGGGGTGTAGGGAAGGGTGGGTCCCTGGCCGGTCTGGGGGTCCAGGATGCAGGTAAGGGGTGTGAGACACGGAGGTGACAGTGAAGGCCAGTGCCGGGGCGAGGGCCTTGGGGTGAGGGTCGCGCCTGGGAGGCGCGGCCGGATCTCGGGGTGGCGGGTTCGTGAGGTCAGGGCTCTCACAGCTGCTCCTGCAGCTCCAGGATGACGCCCTCCAGCTCGCGCTTCTCGCGCTGGTTCTGTGCTGCGGCCTCCTCCAGCTGCTGCTGCAGCCGCCGGTTCTCAGCCTCCAGGTCCTTCAGCTGCGACTCACGCAGCCGAACCAGCTCCTCCAGGTAGCCCTGTGGGGCATGGCTGGGGCTGGCTCCCCTTGGACCCCACTTCCAGTGGACCCCCACTTCCCGCAGATCCCCCACTTCGTGGGCCCCCTTTCCCATGCCCCCTCTCCCACTCGCCTTCTGCGCGTAGACAATGCGGAACTTCTGCTCCATCTTGTGCCACTTGCTGTACCAGCTGTCCTCATCCGTGACGAGCGGCAGGTAGGGGTGCTCCGGAGAGTTGTCCTCGCTGGTGCTGCTCTCGGCACTGTGCCGCTCCTCCTCGTCCGTCAGGTAGTCGTAGCTGGGGGGAGGGGTGCCCGTGCTGACGCCTGGGCAGAGCCCCACCCCCCTCTGCCGTGGATGGGTGCTCACCTCTGGGTGAACTTCATGTAGGGTGTGTAGTCGATGACCACGGGCGTCTTCCCATCTAGGACCTCGCCCTTCAGGCAGAAGCTGGCAGGGGAGCGGCAGGTTGGGGGGTGTGGAGGTGCCACCCCTCTGCCCCCCCACCTCCTGGCCTAGGCCCACCTGAAGTCGATGGCACTCAGCCCGATGAGCATGCCTATGAGCACCGTGGCCTCCTCCCGCAGCATGATGGCCCCCGAGTCATAGAAACGCCTGGGGACAGGCAGTGAAGGTGCTGGCAACATCCCGGCCTCTCCATGCTGCTGTCTTGAGGGGACTCTCTCCTCCCCCAACACCAGGCTCAAGCCGCCGGGCCCCTGTCCCTCGCCTGTGCCTACGGCAGGGCCTGCCTCTGAACTCCCCTGGCTGAGTCCCTGCAGTCTGCAGGCTCAGGCAGCGAGACTGAAAGGCTAATGCTGGACACAGTGGCACCCAGGAGATGAGGTGGGGGACAAGGACGAGGCGTGTGGTGCCCGCAGCCCCGAGGGGACTCTGGGGACAACCACAGACTGCAGGCGTCGCGGAGGGTACAGGTTGTTGTGGCTAGCTGGAGGCAGAGATCCTGAGGTGCTGTGTGGGGTGGGCCCGGCTGGCAGGGAGGTAGCAAGTGTGGGGGCAGAGCTGGCCGAGTGAGGGGCATGGGGCCTGGACACAGGGACTGAGCGGCCTGGGTGTGAGGGCTGACCTGGTCGTCCTCGAGTCCCGCACGGCCGTGGTGATGTACTCGGACATGCGCTTCTCCATCAGCGCCACCCGGATCCACGCCCGGCCCTGGGAGGCACGAAGCCCTTCGTGCCGATCTGTCTTGGGGTGCATGGGGGTCCCCCACCCCTGCAGAGGCCTGAGTCCCGAGTGGCCCCGCCTCACCTTGGCCCGCGCGGTGCTGATGTTTTCCATGCTCTCGATGCTGCTCACACAGTTGTTGGGCACCTTGCTGCAGGCCAGGCGGATGTAGTCCCAGAAGCCTCGCTGCCCGTCTGAGCTGAACCAGCTGGCGGGCCCTGCTGGGGCACAGGCTGAGCCAGGGCAGGAGAGGCTCAGCAGCCTGGGCTTGGCAGGGGCCCAGGCAGGGCACCCATCAACCCCAGGTGCACCCCTCCCAGCTCCAGGCCCCCAGGGCAGGACTGGCCTCAGGCCCACCTTTGAAACGGTGGCTCAGGATCTGCTCCAGGATGGCTGCAAAGTTAACAAACTCCTCAGAGGAGTCGTCAATGGGCTCAGCCGTGTACTTCTCCAGCAGAGTTTTCACTGAGAACCTGGGGACAGCGATGGGGGCTTCGGGGGGTCAGGCTCAGGGGAGGGTCACAGTGGAGCATGGGGTCAGCAGAGGACATGGGTAGAGAAGAGGACACGAGGACAGCAAGGCACTGGTGAGCCTGGGGGCTGTGGAGATACCACCCCATGTGGAGGGGCTGTGGTGGGTGGAGGGGGCTGGTGGTCACAGCAGGTGTCTGGGCAGGGGACAGGCAGAGAAAGGAAGCCTAGAGGCAGAGCAGAGAGGATGAACTCCAGGCAGAAAGGCAGTGACTGCCCCCAGGCCTGTACCCCAGCCATTCAGTGGTGTTGGCCCCCGTGGGACCCAGGCCACCCAAGAGCTGGAAGCCACTTTGTGCCAGGCCCTAAACTGTTGCCTCATTTTCCATTCCCGAGGGATGGGTGCCTGTGCCAGGAGTGTGGGCACGTGTGGGTGGCCAGATGGCCTCAGCTCATGGATGTCCCTCCCCGCTTTCCTCCCTGGCTTGGCTGCCCACACACCAGCTGTCCAGAACCAGGGGTGCAGTGCCCGGCAGGGAGGAGCAGGCTGGCCCTGACACAGCGGGTGGGGCGCTGGCAGCAGGTGCCCGGAGGGCCCTCGGCAGGAAGGGCATGGGGAATGCCAAGCAGTGCCTCCCGCTCACCCTGCAGTGGGCAGCCCTGCAGCCTCTGCCGCTGTCCCTGACGGGTGGGTAGGAAAGAGCGTCCCAGTGTGGCCCTGCCCCGGTGCTGGGGACACAGGGGCTGCTTGGAGTTGCCCTCACTGTACCAGCCCTCGTGGAGTGCCAAGCCCTGAGGCTGACAACTGCCCAGCCCGTCCAGCTCTGGAGGCCCCTCCCCTGCCCCTCTCCTTGAGCCCCCAGCCCTGAGGTACTGGCCCTCTGAGGCACCCAGGCCAATGCCACAGGGGGCCCTCGGCACCATCTCCCCTCTGGGCTCAGATGGGTCCGGCCTGGCTGAGGGAGGGCTGTGGCACTTGGGCAGGGCAGCCACAGAGGACCGGTTTGGTGCAGACCCTGCAGGGCCAGCAGAGGTCTGGGAGCCCGTGCTGGGCCAGGCGTGAGAAGCTGCCCTGGGAGCAGCCTTGCACAAGGCATTTCCGGGGCTCCATGATACACCCCTTTCCCTGGGTGATTTCTTGATGGGGCTGGGCAGTGGGCAGCCATCTGTGGTGCCCTGCAGGTCCGGGAGCCCTGCGGTGTGCTCCCTGTTAGGAGATCCAGGCTGCTGTGGGTTACCATGGCAACGGGAGGCCAGGGCCCAGGGGAGCCTTGTTGGCCTGCTAGGGAGCTGTTCAGGGAGCCAGGGGCACAGGCAGGGAAACATGTGACATGAAGAGGGCGGCAGGTCCTCAGGGCTTCTGGGCTTTGTTTCGTCCCAGGCCCCCAAATTCTGTCCCCCAACCCCAGTTCTAAGCCACTTGCAGCTGGGAGCCTCCGCATTCCCAGGCCAGGCCTGAGCAAGTGCCTCCTCCCCTCGCACTCAGGAGCCCAGGAGATCAAAGCTAGAGGAACAGGAAGGTGTCATGGGGACCGGCGGGGCTGGAACCTCTTCACTGTGCCGTGAGTACTCTGGCTATGGGCTTTGCAGATAAAACGCATGTGATGAGCACTGGCTCCCAGGGTGGTTAGATTCGCCCCGGGTTGCACAGCCAATAACCAAAGGGAACGTGGGAACATCAGCTGTGGGACCCCGGGAGGGGCTTCCCTCTCTGCCACCCGGGAGGGTCAGAGGCCACGCCTGGCTGGGCATCACTGGTTCCTGCATGCCATTTCAGGCCTCTGCACCCAGCACCCTGCCAGGCACAGGGACCATAGGTGGGCACCGGTTCCCGGGATTAGGAGCAGGGCTGAGGCAGGAGACTCATCGGGGGAAGGCAGCACCCACTAGGTCCAAGGGTCCCTGGGGAGGTATGCGCGGGCTGGGGAGGGGCTGGGCGGCCGGCGCTTCCCCTCCTGCCTGGGGGGAAGCACAGGGTCCTGCAGGTCGCATGGGCAGCGGGGTCGCGGCCTGGGTGGCCCCACCCCGGGGACCCGTGGCGTGGCTCTGCCCCCGCCTTCCGTGGGGACCGGCTGGGGCTCCTGCCGCCCAGGCTCTGGCTCCTGCCGCGCGTGGGAGGACGGGGCCCGCGGGGCGGCGAGCTCTCGGAACCCTGTCCCCGCGGTGTCACTTCCTGGCGTCGCAGGAAGCCGGGCGCGACCACCCCCCACACCCCAATCGTGGGCCGGCCGGGCCTGGCGAGGCCCGCGGGCCGGGGAGCGGCCGCCCCGCGCCCCCTCCGTGTCCCAGGCGCAGCCCCCGCCCACCTGCACACGGTGATGAGGTTCCTGCGCTCCACCGCCACGTTGCGCGAGGACGCCTTCTTGGAGGACAGCCCCAGCGCCATGGTGGCCGGGACTAGGCCCGCTTCCATCCAGGGCCCCGCGCCCCCCGCCGCCCCCCGCCGCCCCCCGCCGCCGCCCGGCGCTCTCCGAGGTGCTGACTCGCCGGCCTGACGTCACCGGCCCCGCCCCGCCGCGGGGCAGTCGGGCCGGGGCGGGGTCGTGGGCGGGGCCAGTCCTCCGGGCCGATAGTGGGCGGGGCCACGGGCGACTAGGCCGGGGCGCTTTTCGGCTGTCCCTCTCCCGCTGTCCGGTCTTCTGTGAGCGGCTCGTTCGCCCCGAGGTTCCCACGGAAGCCCGCACTGCCCCGGCCTCGCCGTCCTCCCCTCGCCGTCCCTCGGAGGGCGTGCTGTGTGCGGAGGGTCGAGGCCCTCCGCGCTCAGGAACTCGGGGCCGTGTCCGGTGTATGATTTGTATTTTTCCCGCTTTAAGCGTTGCCTTTTTACCCTGTCGATACTGTTTTCTAATGCACAAATAGAAGCTTTCATGAAGTCCACTTTGTCCTTTTTCTTTTTCTCTACCTTTGGTGTCACACCAAGAACTCATTGCCAAACCCGATGTTATGAAGTTTCTTTCTGTTTTCGTCTGAGGGTTTTAGGGTTCAGGTCTTTTCTTTAGGCCTGCGACCCATTTTTTTTTTTGTATCGGGGATCGAACTCGGGTCCTTGCGCTTGCAGGGCAGGCGGCGAAACCACTGAGCCAAATCCCTGGCCCTGTGACCCATTTTGTTTTTGGGGTTTTTTTTTTGTTTTTTTACTTAAATTCTTTTACTGGTACAGTTTAGGCATACAATACATTTACACTTATCATTTGGTGTTTGTACCTGTACATGATGTATCTTGGTTCTTGTTTTTTCCCCATTACCTGTGCGCCCTTCAATGCCTCTGCCCTTCCCTATTTACATAGATTTCATTTCCCTGTGACCCATTTTGAATTCAGTATTGGGTATGGTGTCAGGCAAGGGTCCAACCTTTCTTTCGCACATGGAGATCTAGTTTTCTGGTAACATTTGTTGAAGACTGTTCTTTTCCTGCTGAGTAGTTTTGACACTGGTCAAAATCATCAACCATAGCCAGCGTGTTAGTACATGCTTGTGGACCCAGCACTCAGGAGGCTGAGACAGGAGAATCACCATGAGTTCAAGGCCAGCCTGGGCTGTATAGCAAGACCCTGTCTCAAAAAAACAAAATAAATAGATAGACAAAAATAAAAAATACCTCAGTGTTGCCAGCATTTAAGCTTTGTGCAGGAGTCCCACGCCAGAGTCTTTGCCTGATCGTGTCTCTGTCGTTTCTGAGCTCCTTTCCTACCTGTTATCCCAGTGTCTCCTGCCGTCTATGGCATCTGTGTCTCAGGGCCTGGTCAGGACGACAGCCATGGTGCGAGGATGTGGTGGGAACTCTACAGGAAATGGGCTCCCAAGGCCGAGAGACTTGCAGGTCAGTGAGATACAAAGACAGGTGGGGCTGGAGCTGCAGGAGGTGTAAGGGCGGGGTTCAGAGGGCAGTGGGGTGGGGCTGCTGCCACCTACCTGCAGTGTCTTTAGCAGCACTGCCCTGGCTGCCTAGAAGTCCTAAATCAACTAACACCTTGTCTATAAACTGGGTGTGGTGGCACACACCTGTGATCCTAGCATTTGGGAGCCTGAGGCAGGAGGATCATTGCAAGTTCAAGGCCAGCCTGGGCTACATAGCAAGGGCCTGATCAATACAAACAAACAAAAAACAAAAAAGGTTTGCCTGATGATCATCTTGACTTTGGGGAGGCAGCCAGAAGTTACCTGGTGCCAGATCCAGTGAGTAAAGTGGATGAGGTCACTGTCGTGTTCTTCTGAGCCTGCCTCTCTGTTGGACGGTACTCAGCAGCAGCATTCCCTGTATTTTTTTTTATCACATTGCAAAAACACTAGGGAGAGAGGACTCCAGAGTTGCTTCAGAAAGTGGCAAGAAGGCTGGGGTGAGTGTGTTCGAAGCAAGGGGGAGGATTTTGAGGGGATTCGTGGCCATGCATTTTTCACTGTGATGCACTTTTAAACATTCACCACATTTTTGATCATCACCTCTGTGCTGATTCTAGGGAGCAGGGAGAAGCCAACAGCAGACCTGTTGTCCAGTGATAAAGCATCTGGGAGCAAAACCCACAACAGCAAGACAGCCCGGGCCTCCCTGGTCCTCCTCCCCCCTGGGCTCTGCAGTGGGACCAGCAGCGCCGGAGTGGTCGGAAGCCGGAGTGGTCGGAAGCCGGGGGCGCAGGCAGAAGTGAGTGGCAGCCCCGCCACACCTCAAACCTTTCTGCTCCCAGGGGACAGGGCCTGTGGGTGCCAGCATGAGGACAAGGTCCTGACGGGCAGCGTCACCTCCAGCCAAGGTTTCTCTAGAGCCCAGCATGTCCCCAGGGATCCCATCATGAGGTCAGTGGGTGCCGATGCCCAGGCAGTGCTGTGCCAGGGTGATGCCACAGGGCACGGCCGGGCCCTGCCGGGCAGCAGTTCCAGGTCTGCAATGTGGGAGAGAAGTGGGGCCCGTGGGCAGCAGAGCTGGCCCCTGGGCGCTCAGTGGCAGCCAGCACTGCAGGGACAGAGACCTTGCTGGGCCCCCCAAGCTGGCGAGTGGAGAGCTGGGTGCCTGCGGCAGCAGCACAGAAAGCAGCTCCTCCTCTGGCGGTGGGAGCAGGCTTTGTGGAAGACCTGGACAGCCACAGTCTCCTTCCTGGAGCCCTGCTGGCCTTCCACCCTCATGGGCGGCAGAAGTGGCCTCTGGCCCTGGCCCCTGGCTTGGATGACACCCAGGGCTGCACCTGAGGCAGATGCTCCACAGGGGCCCCTGGCCTCACCAAGGCCCAGCCCCAGCCACCTCCAGGCCACGCTCAAGCCCCCCTGGTGCCCAAGTGCAGAGGTGCTGTCCCAGCAGCCCCTGCAGGACATGTTGGCCAGGGGTCCTGAGCATGGCTGGGCCGGGAGGGAGGGCCGGGGCTGTGGATCCAGGGTGCTTGACCAGCGGCCCCCTGTGGGGTGGAGGTTGGAGGAGCCCTGCCTCAGAGACAGTGCACTTCCCTCCTACAAGCCACCCAGGGTAAGTAACAAAAAGAGCAAACACAAGATAGAGCAGGAACCAGGGAGCTAGGCCTTCCCTAACGGATGGGACCGAGCGTGGGGGTGTGTTAGATACACGCGTACCAACACCCTGCAGTGATGGAATTGCTATGCACTGCAAAAATGTACTAAAAAAAAAAAAGCCAGGCGTGGTAGTGCACACCTGTCATCCTGGCACTTGGGAGGCTGAGGCAGGAGGATCACCGCAAGATCAAGACCAGCCTGAACTACATAGTGAGATTCTGCCTCAGAAAACAACAAACAAACAAAAGAGAAATAATTCTGCCCCTTGGGTGGAAGACAGGGATTCCTGGGACTCCAGACGATACAGGTGTGGGCCATGTCCTGTCCATTCAACTCACCCACCAAATGGGAAGTGACTAAGTCAAAGCCTGACTGCCGCTGTGCCGGGCAGCGGCTTCTTAGGGCAGTGCAGCCCTGGGTTCAAGCAAGTGGCTGTCAGTCTGGTGACCGCAGGAGCTGTCCTCCGGGGGGCCGGACAGCAGCGGGTTTGGTGGTCATTCCCAGGCCCTCTGCTTTGTCACCACGTGGGCAAAGTGGCCCGGATGGTGCTGGAGACCCGGGACACCTCACTAGGCCACCCAGTCCACCACATCCAGTCGGTGGAGCCTGGTGAGTCCCCGCTTGCAGGAGGCCAAAAGATGAATCCTACTCACTGGCGGGCTGTGGTTGGCTGCCACCCTGTGCCTCCCTCAAGGAAGCGGGGACTCCTTCGGATTTGTTGTTTTTTACTCCCTTTGTAGTGCAGGCCAGCCTCGAACTCTGCGATCCTCCTGCTTCAGCCTCCCAAGTGATGGGATGAAGGGCGTGGGCCGCTGTGCCAGGCCCTTTGGGTTTTGGAGATGCCACTGCCACCCTGCTCCTGCTTACTTAGGAGAGACTCAGGCTGCTGGCTTCGGTGAGGCAGAAGGAAGAGTGGGCTCTGGGTACGGCCCTGATGTGAGACTCCCATCTCTGTGTGAGCCGTGCAGCCCAGTGGACCCTCTGTGGTCTGGGTTCAGGGTGACCGGAGAGCCAGGGGTGCCGAGAGAGGAACCCGGATGCGCTCTGCCTCACTGCCCTGCTGGGCTGGGTACAGGGCCCAGGGACGGGCGGCGGCTCGGGGCCTCCAGGAGCCTGTCGGGGGTCAGTGCCACCCCGCGTGTCCCCTGTGGAAGGGACAGCAGCAGACAACTCCACACCCTTCTCAGGGTCCCTCTTCCAGGAGCCCAACCTGGCCGAGGTACTGCCACTGGAGGGGACGTGTCCTCCCAGGCCAACACCGCCGGGTGAGGCTGTGGCCTCCTGCCTGCAGGGCCTGTGCTGCCATCCTCGCCTGAGACCACATGGTGCCCAAGCCGTCGACATGGGGTTCCGAGAGGCATCCATGCACCGGCAGAACTAGACCCTTGGCCAGGCATGGTTGCCCACACCTGTCATCCCAGCACTGGGAGGCTGGGGCAGGGGGATCGCAGAGTTCGAGGCCAACCTGGGCTCCATAGTGAGACAGGAAGAAGCCTGGGGTGTGGGGGGCTCGGGCCTCATGTGGGTGTGGGGCCTGACAGTTACCAGAAGGGCAATGGCGGCACAGCCACAGCTGGGTGTGGCCCAGGCCGAGGCCCCTCTAGGACCCGTCACAGCCAGGGAGGCCCAGGCTGCCGCTCACAGAACAGCTGAGACATGAAAGTGACCTGAGTCGCCACCTGTGACCAGTGTGCTGCCACCCTCGGAGGCATCTGGACAGCCCATGGGGAGGGGCGCAGGGACCAGGTGGGGGTCACCAGCTCTGCAGATCCTCAAGGCCAGGGACCATGTGCATGGGTGGGAGTGGCATGGGCCATGGGCTGCCTCTCTGTACTGACAGGACTGAGCGAGTCCGGTTCCGCGTTGCTGGCGTGCTGGGCAAAGTTTTTCCGTTGGCGGCATTTCCGTGCTTAGTGGAATTCTTCTCAAATGCTTTGGTCATTGGGTTTCTCTACTGTGCTGCTCCTCCTCCAAGTATTTTGCACATTTCCTACTGATTATTTATTTATTTATTTAGTTTTTTGAGACAGGGTCTGGCTATGTAGCCCAGGCGGCCTGGAACTTGACGAGATCCTCCTGCCTCAGCATCCTGAATCCTGTGATTACAGGCATGCACCCCCATGCCTGGCTATTTTTTAAATTCTGGCACAGGGTTTTGCTGAGTTGTCCTGGCTGACCTTAAACTTGTGATCCTCCTTCCTCAGCCTCCCAAGAAGCTAGATGTTGTAGTCAGGGTTTTGCAAGGGAATAGATTTAACACAGGACACATAGTTTATAGGATTTTATAGTAGTCACCTGAAAAGTCAACTTCAGAGGAGTGCAAGTGATCTAGCTGCACACTAGAGAGCCAAGGAATCCAGCTGAGGGCCTGGACCCCACAGCAGTGTCCTTGATGAGTCCAGCCAGAGGCCCAGAGCCCACGGCAGTGCCTCATGCTTGTCCGTCTCGAGGCTCTGCCCCGGGAAGGCCCAAGGCCAGTGGTGGAAGCTGGAAAGTCTGCTCCAGTGGGGGAAGGACCTGTGGCACGAGGCTGAGGGGTCTGCACTGGAGCAGGAAGTGACGCCCACGGTGAAGACCAGCAGCCATTCCCCGAGACAGTGAGCCCCCAAGCTCCTCCTCGGGCGAGAACAGCGGAGTTCACATCAGGAAACCAGCCGCAGCAAGCTTCTCCTAGAAAATCAACAGCTGGGCTGGGGATGTAGCTCAGTAGTGCTGCTGCCTGCCTCGCAAACACAGGGTCCGGAGTTCGATCCCAGGTACCAAATAAATAAGTAAATACATCTACAGCCCCTGATCTCGCCCTCCAGGTCTCTTCTTACGCTGTTGGCAGCAATCCTCAGGTGTGTCTTCACGCCCAGCCATGCAGGCTCAGCTCAGCTGGACGCTCCAAGGTGACCATTAGTCACCACACTAGACCACAGGCCTGCCCACCGCGCCCGGCTCACCCTGACCATTTTCCAGTGTGCAGATCACATTTCCGACACTGTTCAAGCACAGCTGCCATCCGCTTCTGAAATGTTCCCTCTGCGCCTCCCCACCTCCCGGCCAGGTGGAGCAGGACCCACAGTGCAGCGGCGGTGCATTCCCTCGGGGGGCGTGGCTGCCCTCCCTGGGCTGACGTTTGCTGTGTGCAGTGCCTCCTCAGACCATGGGGGCTCCTGGCCTCTGAGGTCACGGCCCGGTGACCCTGTGGGCAGCCTCCAGGCGCCACCTGTGAGTGTCTCTGGGGACGTCAGCTCAGCTTCTTAATTAATTAATTAATTAATTTATGGAGACAGGGACCAGGGATTTAGCTCAGTGGTTTCGTTGCCTGCTGCGCAAGCGCAAGGACCCGAGTTCAATCCCCGGTACCAAAAAGTAAACACACACACACACATATATATATATGGAGACAGGATCTGCTGTGTAGCCCAGGCTGGCCTCAAACTCAGAGATCCTCCTGCCTCAGCTCCTTGACCACTTTTGAAACTGGGTTGTTTTTCTTTTTCTTCAACTAGTCTTTAAATTGATTTTGCTTTGCCAGGCATGGTGGTGCACACCTGTCATCCCAGCTCGGGGGAGGCTGAGGCAGGAGGATCCCTGTGAATTCGAGGCCAGCCTGGGCTACACAGCAAGACCCTGTCTCAGAAAACAAATGAGCAGAAGAGCTTGTCTTGGGAGCCTGACTACTTTGCTGGCTGGCCTCACCCTCAGCGCACTTGGGCCAGGCGCCTTGGAGCAGGGAGAGCTGGAACCTCTGCCCAGGATCCACATTGCCATTCGCCGGCAGAATTTCTTCTTCATCAGGGAAACCTCTTTTGTTCTTTTTTTTTCACCGGGAACTGAACCCAGGGCCTTTGCCCCGAGCTCCATGTCCAGCCCTCTTTTTTTCTTCTTTTCTTATTTTGAGATCTTACTAAGAAGCTAAGTTGCTGGAGCTGGACTCAAACTGGATCCTCCTGCCTCAGCCTCCCAGAGTGCTGGTACAACAGGCCTGTGCCATCCCATCCGGGCCCTTTGTGTTCTTAAGGCCTTGTAACGGCTGGATGACACCACCCAGACTTCAAGGGTCAACCCTTTGACGGGAGCGGCCGAGCCAGCATGTGACGAAAACCCACGCCTCGCTTGCACGTGTTGGCAGGGACCCCTGGACACTGTCCTATCCCTCGGGCTCTGGCACGGCACTGGTGTCATTGAGAACAGGGGCCGGTGCTGGGCCGGTCGCTGCAAGTCGGGGCTGAGCTGCAGTTGCCTGCTGGAGGGCGGCCACTCCTCGGGCCTCCAGGAAACTGAGAAGCACAGCCCGCCCTCCGAGCAGCCACTTCCACTCAGCACGGCCGCCTCGGCCACTAAGGCTCACAGAGCCTGCAGCACCTGCCCTACCCTCTGGTCACTTCTATTCTGCAGCTCCTGTCCCTCCTTAAAGGAGAGACTTCAAAACGGCCAGTCCACCCTTGGTTCTTCTGTGTCTGCTTTTTTGTTGTTTTTTTGTTTTTTGAGACAGGATCTCGCTGTATAGCCCAGGCTGGCCTGGAACTCACAGCGACCTCCTGCCTCAGCCTCCCAAGCGTTGAGATGACAGGCATGTGCCACCATGCCCGGCTGTTTCTGCTTCATTCAGGACCTGTGAGCCCTGCCTACTCCCACAGCTCGGTGAGCCCTTCCTGCCTGTGGCCTGACTCCTGCACCCGCAGTCACGGCACCTGAGGTCCTGCAGGACATGCTGTCACCTTGTCCTGGGCCACTGCGTTACTCTGTTGTGCAGACAGCTCTGGCCTCAGCTGCCCAGCACAGCTTCCTGTCGCGACTTCCAAGCCTGTGTGGCCCCTGGGTGCAGCTGGCACTCGGGAGGAGAAGGATGGAGGGGAGCAGAGGGCGAGGGGACCCGGAGCATGGACGTCGGCCCCACTGGCTTCCGAGGCCAGCAGGTGTGGGTCCAGGCGGGTGGGCAGCCAGGGAGGCGGAAGCACCTCAGTCACAGGGGCTCCAGCGGGCCCAGGAGATAGGCACCTGGAGCTGCAGGGCGGAGATATCAGGAGCAGCGTGGGGGGGTGGGGAGCAGGAGCAGCAGCAGCAGCAGCAGCAGCGGGGAGATAGGGACCAGTCTCCAGGAAGGGAGCGGCAGCCCGTGTGGGAGCCGGAGGAAGAGGCTCAGGGTCCAGGCCGGGCGGGAAGGGCAGCAGCGGGAGGCAGCGAAGGGACCCGGCTCTCGGCTCCAGGGTCACCTCGGCTGTGTTGGGGGTTACTCAGCTCTGTCCCAGCACCGCACCAGCCCCGAACCGGGCTCCAGGCCCAGCTCACCAGCCGTGTGGATTCCTCAGATTATTGACATCTTGTTAAAGGCACCTACCGATCACACAAATAAAAATGGAACTCAGGGCCGGGGACGTAGCTCAGTGGTTCCGCCGCCTGCCAAGTGCAAGGTGCCGAGTACCAAAAAAAGAAAGAAACTCAGCAATTTGACAAATTAAACTTTTACAAACATTTCAAGCATGAATTACCCAAACAGCTACAGTAAGAATATTGCTGTGCACCAGGTGTGGTGCCCGTGACTGTCGTCCCAGCACTCGGGAGGCTGAGGCAGGAGGATGCTGAGTTGGAGCCCAGCATGGGCTGCAGAGTGAGACCCCGTCTCAAAAAACAAAACAACCAAAGGAACACTGCTGTGCATTCACCAGCTGCCGAGCACTGTGGGAGAAGACCCCTCCCTTATTTAATCCCGAGACGCTGAGGAGAGGCCGCTGCCTCTGCTGCCCAGGCAGCTGGAGGCCCTGTCCCAGCCACACAGCTGTGAGCGTGTCTGTGCCCGTGGCCCCCTGGCCTGAGAGGACAGCCAGTTTTCCCAAACCTGTGAGACACCTTACCCATGGTATCAGGCAACTGAGGCTTCTTATTGCTGATTTTTGGTTATCTGTATTTATTTGTTTTGCACCACTGGGTACTGAGCCCAGGGCCTTTGCACTGAGCTCCACCCCCAGCCCTTTTACCTTTTTTATTTTGACACAGGGTCTCACTAAGTCACCAACTTCCCCAGGCTGGGGTTGGACTTGCCATCCTCCTGTCTCAGCCTCCTGAGTGCTGGGATGACAGATGTGCGCCACCACGGCCGGCTTCTCAGCCCCCTTCATGGCCAGCACAAGCTGAGGAGAAAGAATCCAGTGTCCTCCACCTGGGCATCACCTCCTGTCCTGGGGCTCCCGTCCTGGCTTAGGCGGCCACCTGGCCCTCCTTCCGCCTCGACCCTGCCCCAATTGGCCCTGTCCCCACTGCAGCTGCTTTCCTGGGCCAGCCTGGTCTCGGGGTCCCAGCCTGACTCCCCCCAGGGTGCGGCCTCCCCGAGCCCAGGGCTCCAGGGCCTGCAGGGGGAGGGGCCCCAGGAGCAGAAGCCAAGGACGTCAGTATCCAAGTTCCGGGCCACCCCGGCTGGGGGGAGCAGGACGGCAAGCGCCATTACACTGCTACCCTCCGCCTCCAGGCTGCTTCCTGCTGCATGGGGGTTGGGGCGCAGGGCCCAGTGTCCCCTGCTCAGAGCCCCAGCCCTTCCCACTATCACATCCTGGTTCTCACACCTGACACTGGGCCTGGCACGGTAATGAGTGCAAAAGGAACATTTGTGGGCTTGCTGGTAACACATACCTATAATAGCACTCGGGAGGCTGAGGCAGGAGGAGTTTGAGGCCAGCCTGGACTACATAGCAAGGCCCTGTCTCAAAAAACAAAAAACAAAAGATTTGTGGACTTGCTCTCATCCTCTCCGCATGGGCTAGGAAGCCCCACTCCCCTCCTCCAAGGGTAAACTGAGGCACAGCTAAGCTCTGCCTAGGCAGCCGAGGTCAGCTGAGCGGAGCCTGAGGCTCATGTCGGCCTGGGAAGCAGGGCCCAGGGTGCAGAGCTGGGGCTCGGGGCACAGAGGACAGGTGAGGCGCTGAGCCGATGGGGTCTGACCAGCCTCACCCATCTGGGGAGACCGAGGCACGCTGACACATGGAGGCCTCTGAGGTCCTCAGGGTCCCCAGAGCTCACCCTCCCGGCTGGGGACAAGATGAGGACAGCACCAGGCTCCAGTCTAGAGTCAGGAGGAGGAGAGGCTGGAGGCCCCTGCTGAAGGGGCTGGGAGGCCCCGCGCTGACCGCTGGGGCGGGGACCTCTGCTGAGCCCCTTCCTCCCAAGCACAGCCCCGCTGCTCTTCCCCAGCGCCCCGTGGGCTGATGCCCTCCCTCTACCCTCGCCCGGTGCAGGAGGAGCAGCGGCTCTGGCAGCTCGGAATCCGCGAGGCCCGAGGGTGGGCGGGGGACGCCGGGCTGGGCGTGGCCGGGCCTGAGTCAGCTGGGGGCATCTGGCTCCTGAGATAGCGCCAGGCGGGGCCGTCCTGCCCTGGGGGGGAGGCCTGGCCCTGGCCCTGTCCCCGCATGCCACCCCCAGGGGGCCAGGCCAGGGAGGTCCCCTGGGCTGGTGACCTCCACGGGGGCTGGGACTGCGAAGGGACAGCTCTCTTTTGCAGAGCTGTGGCTTGAGCCCAGGGCCTTCACAGTGAATCACATCCCCAGCCCTTTTTTAATTTAAAAATTTTCTCAAGTTTGGAGACAGGGTCTCACTAAATCGCAAGGTTACCCAGGCTGGACCTGAACTCCTGATCCTCCTGCCTCAGCCTCCCAGAGTGCTGGGATCACAGGTGTGGCCCACCAGGCCCAGCCTGCACCCAGTTTAACAGGAAACAGTGGAGACAGCACGGAAGGAGGGGCTAGGCCTGGCCAGCAGCTGGGGGCAGGTCCACAGCAGGAGGCCCGGCACGGGCAGGGGCAGCGTGGCGGGGAGCCAGTACAGGGTTCAGGGGCCCAGGAGGCTGAGCCGCCACAGCTGCCCACAGCCCACCGCCCCCGTGACGTGACCCCGCTGGCCTGCAGCTCCGGGGCTGACCTGCTGCCCACCACTCAAGGCCAGTTTGCAGTGGCTGGGGCTCAGCTTAGACACAGTCTCAGCCCCTTCTTGGGAGCAGTGTGACCCCGGGGACTTCCTACTCCTCAATGCACCCACTCACGCTCAGTGTGACCTGTGTCCCAAGACCCGGGGAGGCCGAGGGCTGCAGGTCGCTGTTCCTGCCCTCGATTCCACCCCTGGGCCTCATCCAAGGCTCAGCCCCCAACAGCCCTGGGGACCTCGGTGGAGGACGCTGCCTCAACCACTGCGCGGCTGTTCCCCTTGAGCTCCACGGCAGTCCCGGGAGCACAGACAGCGGATCAGCGACGGGGAGGGGCTGAAGAGTGGAGAAGCTGGGGTAGTGAAGCACACCTGTCATCCTGACTCTGGAAGGCTGAGGCAGGAGGATCAGGAGTTCAGGTCCAGCCTGGACAACTTAGTGGCTTAGTGAGACTCTGCCTCAAAAGTAAAAAAATAAAAATTAGAAATGAAAAATGGCTGGGATGCAGCTCAGTGAGAAGGCTCTGGGTTCAATCCCCAGTACTACGCACAGGCGCATGCACGCGCACACACATTTACCACCTTGGGTCTAAGAAATGGGAAGTCTGAGTCTTTCACATGGAAGCCACGGCCCAGACTCAGGTTCAGGTTCCAGGCTCCAAGTCCTACCCATCCACTCCCTGAAGACCTCACCCGAGGCTGGTGCTACCCCTGGGTGCCTGATATAAACTGAGGTTCCTAGCGGCCAAGGTAAAAGAGAAATGGGATGACTCAACTCTCCCTCGTCTGAAACAAAGCAAAGGTGGTTTGTGCAAAGCTCTGCACCTCACGCAGGGCTTGATCCCAGTAGGGCTTTGTCTCCCAGGTTCCCTGGGATGTCACAGCTGCCGATGCAGGAGGTCACCGGAAGTGGGCCTGTGCCCCACCCGGCCCTGGCATGAAGCTCCTTGGGCCAGGCCCCTGCAGGACACAGTGATTCGGGCCAGGCGGAGCTGGCGGTGGAGGAGCTGCCGGCCCGAGGACCGAGCAGAGGGCAGCGCGTGGACAGTGGTCTGGGCCTCCCCCGCTCAAACCCAGCCTGGCGCACACAGCGATCCGCCTCGCAGCGCGCACCCCGACACCACTGCAGCGGGATGTTCCTGTCAGTTCCCGAGCAAACCCGGAGCCGGGCTTCCTTTCTCTTCCACGGGCGCTTGCTATCTGGCCTGGGCTGGCCCTGAACTCCTGGGCTCCGGTGATCTTCCTGCCTCAGCTTCCTGAGTGGTTGGAACTGCAGGCGCAGGCCACTGCACCCCGCTTAGAGCCTGCCTCGTGCCCTGGGCTCTGCCTAGGCCAGGAGCACCAAGGAACAGGCAGGGCACCTGCATCCTAGCGCCAGAGATAGCAACAGACCCAGGACGGAGAGCAGAAGCTCAATGGTGACTGGGTCCTGGCTGTGAGTGCTGGTGTCCCGTGTTCCCGTCTCCTCTTCCTCCTGTGTCACGGCACTCTGGACCCACGCCGTCCCCAAGGGAAGGCCACACTGCCTTGCCTCTCTTGGCATTAAGCATGGACGCACGACCCAGTCCTGACCAATGGGAAGGCCTTAACCCTTCACCCTCTCTCCTTCCTGCCAGCTGGGACTCACAGGCAATGGCTGAGGCTCAGACAGCCATTTTGGACCATGAGGAGAAAGCACTTGCTGAAGATGCCCCAAGACTGAAGGGGGCGCCCTGGGGCTCCTACCCCAACTTTTGAAGCAGGGAGCAGTAAAGCACTTTGCTCCAGCTGCTCAGAGTGCGTTTTCTCTCACACAGCCCTTCCTGAAGCTTCCGTTCGATAGCAAGGAGGATGCTCTCCAGGGGACACTGGACCTGCGGCCTGGATGGAGGCAGCCTCCCGGGGCAGGGACCGAAGGAGATGAGACTGGGCTGGACCTAGGCGGGCCCGGGGCTGGCTGCACAGATGGGGTGAGCAGAGGTGCTGTGGCTGCCGCCCACCTTCCTGAAGGGGCCCCAGCCCCGAGTCGTTGGATGGGAACTGGCACTGCCCGTCACTGCTGCTGGGTGGCAGAGGGGCCGCCCCTCACCCTCGGCAGAGGCGCCCAGCGGGAGCAGGGTGGAGCCAGACACAGGCGCTGAGCCTTGAAGGTCGGAGCCACCGCTGCAGGCTGGGGAGGGGGCTTGGGGCAGGCAGAGGACTCGAGTGTCAGGCCCAGAGGCCACGGCCGCCTGCCAGCTGCAGGTCCTGCGTCCCCTCCTGAGGGGCAGCTGTGCGGCCCAGCCCCTCCCTCCCGGCCTCCAGGACCCGCTGAGCGGCTGGGGGCCAGGGGCACCAGGAGCTGAGGAGGAGGCAGAGGGCACCTGCCTGTCCCCTCCCTGGGGCTCTGAGGCGGCCCTGGCTCCCCCGCAAGGCGTCACAGCTCCGACGGCCACAGGGACATCGCCCCCTTCAGGTTCTTGTCCCTCAGCCCCTCGGCTCAGCGGTCAGCCTGGGCCCTCGCCCTGTGTAGCTCTGGGCTGTCCCAGTCCGTCCAGGTGCAAGGCGCTCCTGAGGGTGGACTGCGGTCCCCCCTTGCTGTCCCTAGGGCACCTGCCTGTCTGTCACCCCTGTGGGCCCAGCATCCCAGAGAGAAAGGAGTGAACCAGAGAGCAGAGGTGGCCACTCGGGCTCACCCAGCCGAGTCCAGGGCCAGGCCACGCACGGTTCCGGGAAGGGCCCGGGTCTGGGTTTGGGACATTTCCCTCCACGCAAACCCCAGGGCCTGGAACACAGGAAGCCGCATCCTCCTGGGGAATGTCGAGGGGCCCCAGGCCAGCCTGACCAACCTGTCCTCCCTGCCTGGCTCCCGCTCCAGTCACAGATGCCATCACCTCTTGGCCACTGTAGCCCATGCTGCCAGAGGAGGCGCCCTGCCCAGGGTGGGCTCAGCCCCTGCTGGGTGTAGGAAGTGGGTGACAGCGCCCTGGGCCTGGAGGAGCAGATGCCCAGGAGGGTCTGCCCCACGTGGCCACAGCCCCAGGTGACACTCGTGACGGAGCCCGCGGGAGGCACCACCCACAGCGGCCCTCAAAACCCGGCCAGCCTGGCCGGACCGGCCCTGCCCAGTGGGGCAGAAGGAAGTGGCCGGTGGCCTGGGCAGGTCCCCGGCCTCGCCTAGGGGAAGGGGCGAGGGCTCAGACACAATGCCACCTTCGGGGCTCAGGCTTCGGCCCAGGCAGCCAGGCACGGCCCCCTAGCTCCAGTTCAGACCCCGGCCATCAAGGACCTGTCTAAAGGGGCCCGGGCGTGGGTCCTGGTCACTGCCTCTCGCTGTCAGCCAGCCCTCGTCCCCAAGTCTGTCCCAGGCAGGCGGCCACCGGCCAAGGCTCCATGATAGCGGAGACGCCCAGGTGCCCTGGCCAGAGCCCCTCCCCGCCCTCCACCTCCCCGTCTACCCCTCCTCCCCCAGGGCCAGGGCTCTGCCAGCCAGGAGCCAGGCCCGTGCCCGGGCTGTGGGAGGCATGGGGGGCGGGAGCGAGGCCCTCTGTCCCCGGGGCTGGGCGGGGGCCCACAGAGGACCCAGTGTGCCCAGACATTGAGGCTTTGTGCCCTGGCGCTGTTTCGGGGTGACGAGTGCACACACTGGTGCCCAGGGCCGGGTCTGGAGCCAGCGGGGTCTGGGGAGCAGGAGAAGCAGGTGCGTGGGAAGGGGCTGCCAGAGCAGTGACTGAGGGAGGACGGGGTGGCCGACGTCCTGGGGCCGAGCAGGGAGCGTGGATGGCGCCTGGGCCCTGCTGCGTCCCCAGGAGGGTGGGCCCGGGAGCCCAGATGTGGCCGGGAGATAAGGCTGCTTGGGGCCAGGAGAGCAGGGCGGGGGCCAGGGCGGGAAGGTGCGGTCAGAGCAGCTGCGAGCGCAGGTGGCAGAGGCCCAGCGAGCAGGACCTGGGACCCGGCTTAGGACCTCGCTGAGGGACCGAGGCTCCGAGCAGGTGGGCTGGGCGGCGCAGGGCGCGGCGAGGCGGGATTCGGAGCCCACTGTGGCTCCAGGGGGAATAGAGTCTGGGGGCCCTGGCCCCAGGCTGTCCCACCCCTCGGGGAGGGGGGGTCCCGGCCACCCCAGCTCCCCCAGGAGGCGCGATGTCAGCCAGGACCACTTCCCATCTGGTACCTTCTGGGGGCCGGTGCTGTCCCCAGCCTGGCGACCAGGGCAGGAGCCTGGAGGACAGGGAATGGCACTCGGGGAGGGGGTGGCCCTCTGCCCGCAGCCACAGTGGCAGAGCGTGCTCGGTGGCGGGCGAAGTGACGGCTTTATAGAGACACTCTGTGCCCGTGGGCACTGGGTAAGAGCCCTCACCACCCCAGATCACAGAGGACAAATGGAGGTTGTTGGCCGAGCGCACACTAGTACACAGGGGGTCTAAGCCAGAAGCGGCGGTGCACCCCTGTGATCCCAACACTTTAGGAGGCTGAGGCAGGAGAGTCGCCAAATTCAAGCCCACCCTGGGTACCTTCATGACTTAGTGAGACCCTGTCTCAAAATAAAAATAGAAAGGGCCAGGGATGGAGCTCATTGCAAAGGTCCTGGCTTCAATCCCTAGGATGGTAAAAACAAAGGTGGGCTGGGGTTTTAAGCCTGCAGTCTGACGGCAGAGTCCATTCTGACCTGACCGGAAATCTGCTGGGAGCTTTTCCTCCCCAGCCATGGTTAGAGATGGAGCTGGAGTCTGTTCAGTGAGGGTTAGGGTTAGGTTCAGGGCTAGGACTTATGTTTATGTTTAGGGTTAGGGTTAGGCTCAAGGTTCTGGTTAGGATTTTTAGTTAGGCCCAGGGTCTGTATTAGTCTTGGGCCAGGGCTTCATCTTGTCCCTGACACCTGCTTGCCACCGCTCCATCCTCAGCTGTCCAGCAGCACCAGCCCTGCTCTGGGGGTGCTCGCCAGTGTTGGGGTTTGGAGGGATGAGGCTCAGCTGCTGGGTGGTGCTGAGGGATGACACGCAGGTCCTGCATGCCAGGGAGCCTCCCTCTGGAGCTCTGCCCCATCCCTCCGTGCCCCTCTCGGCTCCTGCTGTCGCCCTTATCTTCCCAGCTGGGCCGGGACTCTTATCAGGCCGGGCAGGACCTGCCCCGGTGACCCGGGTCTGCAGCTGAGTCACCCTGAGCCCCTGATGGTGCCACTCCCCGGCCTGACTTCAGCCTGGGAAAGCTCTGGTTCTCGGGCCAATGGCGACAGGGGTAGGGCCGGGCAGGAGCAGCAGAGGTCTCCCAGCCATGGCAGAGCCGCCCAGGGCCTGGGACTCTAGACCAGCCAACTGGGACATCCTTGGGCCACTTGGGTCAGGGTTAGGCTTTGGTCTCCTGACCCCCGGACCTGACCCTTGAGTGCAGTGCAACCAAGAACTATGTCCCGGCACCTCCGGGTGGGGCACCCCCAGGCGTGCACTGCGCTGAGGTGGCCCCTTCCAGAGATTTGTCAGGAGGCATATGGGCTACGCATCAGCTCAGAAACCAGAAAGTGCCACCTGGGGAGCGAGGGACACCGGGCCACAGGGGCTGGGAGGGCTCAGCGTGGCAGAAGATGCTTCTAGGGTGTGGACGCCCAGCAGGGCAGAGGCCTGGGGGCCAGCGAGGGCTTGGTGAGCTCTGGAGCCCCACGGAGGCCAGCGCTGAGGCCGACAGCTCGGAGAGAGACGGGGCCCACACGCTTCGGGGTGCCGCAGCCCCAAGGCCAATTCTGAGGTGCAGGGCGCGCATGGGGCCCCTCAGAGAGCCCAGGCCCGGAGAAGGGACAGGGAGGTGATGAGGCCTGGGGTGGGTGGGGAAAGACGCCGCGCAGCTGGTGTGCGGGGGCCCTGGCCTCCCCGCCGCAAGGCACACCTCTGGCCCCTCTGAACTCTGCCACCATGTGGGGCCCTGCCACCGAGGCCTGGGAGACCCCAGAGACCCTGGCTCAGCCTGTGCCCACCCCTGCAGGGACCCGCGGTGCAGGTTATGCTGGGGCCTGGATCACCAGGGACAAACGGACACGAGGGACACAGCCATGGGGGATCAACAGGTGGGTGTCAGCTCTCACTGCCTTCCAGGGCCCAGGGCACGGTGGCCTGGCCCTTACACTGTGGCTCCTCACAGGAGGACTTCGGAGAGGGGCTGGCAGCCCCAGGGCAGAGGCCTGGGGAGGAGGTGCTGGACATCCCTGAGCACACTGCAGGCCAGGACAGAGAGGTGCCAGGCATCCTGGACCACAAGGAGGGGCTGGAGGAGGCCCTGGAGCTGGAGGACTACGAGGACCTGGGGATCCCTGAGCCCTGGATGGAGGAGCCCCAAGGTGAGCTGGCCCCACCTGCTTGCCCCCCCGCAATTACCACTGATTGAAGGGTAAACAGCGCTCTGTTTGGAGTGACCACAGGAGGCCATGGCGGGCAGTCACATCGCAGCACCCCCTTCCCAGCAGAGGCCTGGCTACTGGCCAAGGCCATGACCCCAGCTGCAGCCCCCCAGTGCCTGCTCCAGCCAGCGCACCACCCATTTGGGGAGAGCGCTCTGTCCTGGGAGCTGGAGGTCCTGAGAACGGGGTCCCAGGGAAGCCCTGAGCAGAACCAAGGTCTACACCACCTTCCCCGCCAGCCCAAGGTCTCATGGGGAGCTCCAGGCGGGGCCTGTTTACTGTCAACAGGCCCTAAGTGCTGGCAATTGGGGTTTGAAGTGGGGCTGGGGGTATAAGAGGTGCACCCCACCACCTGCTGGGTCTGCAGAGGACCTGGCAGGAGCTGGTGGAGAGGTGGGAAGAGGGGCACTCGGTCCGGCAGCCAGGGAGGAGACCCCACGTGGGCCTGAGCGCAGCGAACCGGGCCCCTTCCCATCTTCATGGGGGCAGGGGTCCTTGACGAGGCTGTTAGGGGTGGCAGAGCCAGAGGCCTCGGGACGGAGCGAGCAGGCCGGGGGGCAGCGCTGACTGCCCTGGGTCTTCAGCTCTCCCCAGCGCAGAGCCCACAGCCTCAGACTACGTCCCTGCCAAGCCACAGCCAGGCACCCAGGAGGTAAGCACCCCAAACTGGCCCTCCCGGCCTGTGTCACCTTGGGGGCGACACAGGAGGAGGAACAGCACCTGGGAAATGCTGGGAGGGGAGGGGCCCCCAGACCCACAGGGCGCCCACAGGGCTCTGCCTGGCGGTGCCCCCAATCCCTTCTGAGCAGGACGAGGGGCTGGGAGCAGGCGGGGACAGAGGGGATCTGGGTCCCCCGCTTCTGCCCCAGCCTGGGCTTCACTTGGCCACGGCCGCAGGTCTACGTGCAGCTGCAGGAGCTGGCGATGGACGGGAAGAACGCGGAGCTGCAGTGGGTGGAAGTGGCGCACTGGATGCACGTGGAGGAGAATGTAGGGCCGCGGGGCTGCTGGGGCCACCCGCACCTGTCCTACCTCACCTTCTGGAGCCTCCTGCAGCTGCACAGAGCCTTCGCCAAGGGTGAGCCTGCGGTGGCCCTGCCGGGACGGGGATCCTGGGGACGCCCACCCGCTCAGCCGCCCGTCGTGCAGGCGCCGTCCTCCTGGACCTGCGGGAGCGCTCCCTGGCCGGCGTGGTTGACGAGCTGCTGGACCGGCTGATCTTCGAGGACCGGATCCGGCCTGAGGACCGTGCACCCCTGCACCGGGCTCTGCTGCTCAGATGCAGGTGCCTGCCCGGCTCGGTGTGGCCCCAACCACTCGGGCCCTACTCCCCCTGCACTGTGGCTCCCACCTCTGACTCCTCCAAGGGCTGACTGGGCTCTGCGCTCGGCGCTAGAGGCTGCTGGTCCCCAGGGCTGGACCGAAAGACCCACCTGCGGGGTCCAGCGGGGCCGCCATGCGCCCTTGCTGTCCCGGGAGAGCCACTCCCCTGCTGCCCGGGCCCTGTGGCCTGCTGGCTGGATCCCACTCGACATCTGCCCTTGGGACCCCGAGAGTCTACCCCGCACAGCCTCCTGAGCCCCCTGTGTCCTGCAGCCACGCCCAGGACCGGGAGGCCCTGCAGGGGGTGACACCGGCCGTCCTGACGCGCTCCGGGGACCCCTGCACACCTCTGCTGGCCCCGCAGCCCTCGCTGGAGACGAAGCTCTTCTGTGAGCAGGTGCGGCTGCGCTGGGGGGCGGGGCCTGGCTGGGCCCAGGGAGCAAGAGGATGGGGGACGAGGGGCTGGAAGCTCAGGCCCCACCTTCCCACAGGCCGAGGGGGACCCCCAGGTGCGCCTGGCTTCCGCTGTGCTGGAGAGGATCCCAGAGGGCTCGGAGTCGGCCCTGCTGCGCGTGGGTGAGCGCCGGGCCCTGTCCCGAGAGCCCATTGCGTCCCCCTCCCCGGCCCGGCTGACCGCGCCCCCGTCCCCGCAGGCCACGCCGACTTCCTGGAGCAGCCAGTGCTGGCCTTCGTGCGGCTGCATGAAGCCGTGGAGCTGGAGGCCGTGGAGCTGCCCCGGCCTGTGCGCTTCCTCGCGGTGCTGCTGGGGCCCGAGGCGCCACACACCGACTACACGCAGCTGGGCCGTGCCTTCGCCACCCTCATGTCCGAAAGGGTGAGGACCGGCCGCCGCCTCAGAGCCCCGGGCCAACGGCACTGTTGCCCCGCCCGGCCCCTGGACCCTGTCCAGCTGGGCTCCCGGCTCCGCGACCCCTGCTCCCTCCCCACCACCTCTCCGGAACCCCAGAGGGTGCGCCCCCATCCCTGACGCTGCCCTGTCGCACCAGGTCTTCCGGATGGATGCCTACTTGGCGCAGAGCCGTGGCGAGCTGGTGAGCTCCCTGGACAGCTTCCTGGACTGCAGCCTGGTGCTGCCGCCCACGGACGCCCCTTCGGAGCAGGCGCTGCTCGGCCTAGTGCCCGTACAGCGGGAGCTGCTCCGCAGGCGCTACCTGCCCAGCCCCCAGCCGCCGGTGCCCAGCTTCTACAAGGGCCTAGGTAGGGCCCTCCGCCCGGCCCTGGTGCCCGAGCTGCAGGCCTCTGTTGGCTGCTGACCTTGCCACTGTCTTCCGCAGACCTGAACGGTGGTCCCGGGGTCCCCGGAGGCCCGGATGACCCTCTGCAGCGGACTGGCCAGCTCTTCGGGGGCCTGGTGCGTGACATCCGGCGACGCTACCCTTACTACCTGAGCGACATAACAGACGCGCTGAGCCCTCAGGTCCTGGCCGCTGTCATCTTCATCTACTTTGCCGCCCTGTCGCCCGCCATCACGTTTGGTGGGCTCCTGGGTCAGTACCAACTGCCTGCCATCCCTCCGACTCCCTCTGACCCTCGCCCCTGACCCTGGGACCCCATCTGCCAGCCCAGCCTGGTCCTGTTGGCCCCTGGAATCACCGCTAACCCTGACCTGTCCCGTCACCCCGCACAGGGGAGAAGACCGGGAACCAGATGGGGGTGTCAGAGCTGCTCATCTCCACTGCCATGCAGGGCATCCTCTTTGCGCTTCTGGGCGCGCAGCCCCTGCTGGTGGTCGGCTTCTCAGGGCCGCTGCTGGTGTTCGAGGATGCCTTCTACTCGGTGGGTGGCACGGTCCCCGCCCACCCCGTGTGGTGCTGGTGCCTGAGCCCTGACGCCTGACCCCAGCTCCCTGCACTCCCAGTTCTGCGAGAGCAATGGGCTGGAATATATCGTGGGGCGCGCCTGGATTGGCTTCTGGCTCATCCTGCTCGTGGTCCTTGTGGTGGCCTTCGAGGGCAGCTTCCTGGTCCGCTTCATCTCCCGCTACACCCAGGAGATCTTCTCGTTTCTCATCTCCCTCATCTTCATCTACGAGACCTTCTCCAAGCTGATCAAGGTGGGCGTGGGGCAAGAGGCATCTGTGTCTCAGGTGCTCAGGCTGGGTCCCACGCTCGCACCGTGACCCAGTGTCCTTGTGCTGCCTGCAGCGGGTGGCTGGGGAGAGGGCCCCTCTGTGTATACACTGTGACCACGATGCACCACGCCCAAGGGAAGACACCCCAGTGGGGGTGACGCCCTGGCACCCACATCGATGCAGAGGTGGCTCTGTGGGATCCGACCCTGCATGCTCACCTGTTAGCTCACCTGTTAGCCAACCTCTGACCAGGAGCCCGCTGGCCTGCCTGGTGTCTGCACTTTCCCGAGAGGAAGGGCCCAGGGCCTTCCTGTCTCCAGCTCTTCCCAGATGTACATTTACTCATTAGTTTATTTATTTTGCAGTCCTTGGGCTGGAACCAGGGCTGGGCATGCTAGGCGAGGGCTCTGCCCCTGACCACCTGCAGCCCCTAAGCCCCAATGAGAAACCCTCCCAGCCTTGTTTCTGCTCCGGCCTTCATGGCCCGCACCTCTGGTGCCCAGGGCTGTACACACAGGGCCTCCATGGCCCCGTGCCTAACCTGGCCTTCATCCCTGAACACCGAGCTCTGCAAGCCCCTCTGCCACTGTCTCAGCTGAACAGAAAGGTGGACAGAGGGAAGAAAGCGTCCCATGCAGCATGTCTGCCTGGGTAGATGGGCAGATGCATGGGTGGGTGGACGCATGGATCATCGTGCTGGGTAACTGGGGATATGACCCAGCCCTGCTCAAGGCTGGGAGGAGCCAACCTGGGTCTTCTGCTGCAGATCTTCCAGGACCATCCGCTGCAAAGGACGTACCCCAATGTGCCGATTGCGTCCAAGCTGCAGGGGCCCCTGCCCAACACAGCCCTCTTCTCGCTGGTGCTCATGGCTGGCACCTTCATCCTCGCCATGATGCTTCGCAAGTTCAAGAACAGCTCCTACTTCCCCGGCAAGGTCAGCGCCCACCCCGTCCGTGTCACCTACCCCAGTCCAACAGCACCCCAGGTCCCCTGCCTCCCCCCTCATCCCAGAGCCCCATCCCGTGCCAAGTGTCCCTGCTTCTCCTCAGCACGGCCAGGCTGGATGCCCAGCGGGGACAGCTCTCAGCAGGGTGGGACTGGGAGCAGCAGGAGGCAGGGAAAGTTGGGACAGGGATGGTGGCCCCTTGAGGACGGCATGGCCCTGGGTGAGTGGGGACAGGTGGTCACAGAGCACCTGCTCCTGACCTCCCATCCTTCCTCTCCCCAAGCTGCGCCGGGTCATCGGGGACTTCGGGGTCCCCATCTCCATCTTGATCATGGTCCTGGTGGATTTCTTCATCGAAGATACCTACACCCAGGTGACCCCTCCGTCTCCGCCTCCCTAGGACACCTCCTGGCGTCCCTCCCCTGAGGCCCTCCCCATCCCAGCCCCTGCTACACCGTGTCCGCCTGGCCTGGGAGGCCCTAGCCCCCCAGGCCCCAGGCCCCAGCCCCTGCCTGCCAAGGCAGGGAGCGGCGTCCCACTGCGCCCTACTCCCTAGCCCGGGGCAGTGAGAAAGCGCCTGCTCTGAGGCCTGCAGCCGAGGCAGGGCCTGGCCACGTAGCCATGTGCCATGAGCAGGCGCCACAGCTTCTCTGGACCTCTTCTCATCCGCGAGGTCAGAGCTGACACAGAAAGAGGGCTGGGTGTGGCCTGGGTGGTGCGGAAGTGCTGGGTGTCAGGGTTCCTTGGGCTGCCCAGGGCTGCCCTCACCTGCTGCCCCTCTCTGCCATCTCCTCCCACAGAAACTCTCGGTGCCTGATGGCCTCAAGGTGTCCAATGCCTCTGCCCGGGGCTGGGTCATCCACCCGCTGGGCCTGTACAGCCACTTCCCCATATGGATGATGTTTGCTTCCGCCCTGCCCGCCCTGCTGGTCTTCATCCTCATCTTCCTGGAGTCCCAGATCACCACGTGAGAGCTGGGGCTGAGGTGGGGGACACTGGGCGTGGCCCTGGCCGATGGCAGCACCAGGACTTGGGGGGGCAGCTTCCTGGCACTGAGGCAGTCTTGCTGGGGAGCCTTTGCTCTTTGGCTTTTTTCTTTCCTTTTGCTTTTGGTTTTGGTACCAGGGATTGAACACAAGACCTTGTGCTTGTGAGGCAGGTGCCGGAACCACTGAGCTACATCCCCGGCCCCTTTTGTTTTTCTTTTTGCATCTTTGAGACACAGTCTCACTATATAGTTCAGCCTGGCCTTAAACTCACTATGTAGCCCAAACTGGCCTCGACCTCATGGCGGTCCTCCTGCCTCAGCCTCTGGAGTGCTGGGATGGCAGGCATGTGCCCCCACACCCGGCTCAGAGGCCCCTTTCTAAGACAAACGATGAAAAATGGCAACCCTAGAATGAGGCTACTCAGGTGAAGTGCTGGGGCTGGGCTGCTCACTGGCCTCCGGGGTCCTCAGGGAGGTAGGGCGGGGCCAGAGGCGGGGCCGGGGGCGCAGGTGGGCTCACCAACGCCTGTCCCCAGGCTGATTGTCAGCAAACCCGAGCGCAAGATGACCAAGGGCTCCGGCTTCCACCTGGACCTGCTGCTGGTGGTGGGCATGGGCGGGGTGGCTGCACTGTTCGGGATGCCATGGCTCAGCGCCACGACCGTGCGCTCTGTCACCCATGCCAATGCCCTCACCGTCATGGGCAAGGCCAGCACCCCGGGGGCCTCGGCCCAGATCCAGGAGGTCAAGGAGCAGCGGATCAGCGGGCTGCTGGTGTCGGTGCTGGTGGGTGAGTGCGGGCAACTGCCCAGCCAGGGGCAGGGCACAGGGCAGCCCCAGGTCTCCTCCACCAACTGGAGGGCGAAGCTCAGGCAGCCTGGGGAGGGCAGAGGCTGAGGGCCCGAGTTCTGGAGCCAAAGGGGGGGTTGTGTTTTGGTGCTGGGGGTCGAACCCAGGACCTGGCATGCTAGGCGAGCACTGTGTCACTGAGCTGCACCCCAGCCCTTAGTTTGAGATGGGGTCTCATTAAGTTGTCCAGCTGACCTCAAACCTGTGACCCGCTTCCCCCGTTACCGGGGCTACAGGTGTGCACCATCATGCTGGGTGGGGAAGTTCCTTAAGAGGTGGAGCCCATCTGACCTGGAGGAGGATCGGGAAGCACTGGGGAAGGGAGGAAGGCCCCTTTCTGTGACCTCGGTGACCCCAGGAGGTACGGGGGTGGGCTTAAGGCTGGCAGGCAGCAGTTGGACCCCTTGCCAGCCATGTGCTGCCTCTGAACCCATTTCCTCATCCATAAATCAGGATAATACCTATTAAAAGGATCCACAAATCCGGGTACTGTGGGGCACAGCCATGATCCCAGCACTCTGGGAGGCTGAGGCAGGAGGACTGCAAGTTTTTTGCTGTTGTTTTTATTTTTTTCAGACAGGGTCTCGCTATGCAGTTCAGGCTGGCCTTGAGCTCACTATGTAGTCCAGGCTGGCCTCGAACTCGCAGCGATCCAGAGGACAGCAGGTTTGAGCCCAGCCTGGGCAACTCAGAAGCTGCTGTCTTGACATAAAAAGGGCTGGGGACATATCCCACAGAGGACACCCGGTCAAGGCCCACTGGGACCCATGGGTGCCGCGGTGCCCACGTGGCGGTCCGGCTGACATGCGCGTCCCGCAGGCCTGTCCATCCTCATGGAGCCCGTGCTGTCCCGCATCCCGCTGGCCGTACTGTTCGGCATCTTCCTCTACATGGGCGTCACGTCGCTCAGCGGCATCCAGCTCTTCGACCGCATCCTGCTGCTGCTGAAGCCGGCCAAGTACCACCCAGACTTGCCCTTCGTGAAGCGGGTACCGCGTGGGGTCCACGGGGTGGGCCAGGGGCGGGGCAGGCGGGTGGGCGGGACTAGGCGGAAGGTGCTTAGCGGGCGGGCGGGGCGTAGTGGGGCGGGGCTAGGGCGGGGCTGGGGGGCGGGAGGTCAAGGCCGCTGGGGGCGGGACCGAACTGACTGCGCCCCCGCAGGTGCGGACCTGGCGCATGCACCTGTTCACGGCCATCCAGATCCTGTGCCTGGCGCTGCTGTGGGCAGTGAAGTCCACGCAGGCCTCGCTGGCGCTGCCCTTCGTGCTCATCCTCACGGTGCCCCTTCGGCGCCTCCTGCTGCCGCTGCTGTTCAGCCGCCTGGAGCTGCAGTGTGTGAGTGCGCAGCGCTCAGGGTGGGGACGCAGGGCGTAGGCGTCCTGACCCCGAGGGGTATGTTGGGGGCTCCCGACACGGTCATCCCGGACTCCCGCCATCCGAGACCAGCCTGCGGCGGGGCGGCAGGGGCCGAGGGTCCCTGCGCCCTGCCCCTGCGCCCCTCACCCTCTCCTCCCCCTGCAGCTGGACGCCGACGACGCCAAGGCCCCCGTGGGGGAGGAGGACGGCCGCGACGAATACGACGAAGTGCCGATGCCCGTGTAGGGGCCGCGGGCCGCCCGGGCCACCCCGGAGAGCAGAGTGGCCGCCAGGGGTCTCGGCCCCTCGAGGGCGCACCGGCCTCTGCCTGGAGGTGCCGGATCCGCAGGAGCCTGGTGTCTGCGCCCCACCTCTCCGGGCACAGCACATCGGGGGGGCCCCTGGGGCCCCTGGCTTGTGACACGGGATGCTCCTGCCTCTGCGTCCTCACCTGCAGCAGGGTGCGTGGGCGACACCCACGTTACCGAGGTCGCCGGGGGCGGATGAGCAGGGCCGCACACGCTGGGGGCCCAGCGCTCCTGGCTGTGTCTGTCGAGTCCTCTTCCTCTTCCTGTCGCACCCTGAGACCAGAAAGGCGCTGTGGGGAGGCCAGGGATCAACACTCATGACCCCCTCTCCTGTGCCGGTGCTGGGGAGGTAGGGGGCGGAGGCAGGACGCTGCCCTGGGGGTGGGTCTGCATGGGGGGGGTGTAATTTATTGTCTTTTCTGAGTGCTTCTGCTGTATTTGGCTTCAGTGTGACGCCAAGGGCCCCGCTGGCCCAACCCGGCCCAAACTGAATCCGGGAGAACCCAGGTCCGGCTGGTGAGGCAGCAGACAGGGCCTCTCCAGGGCGGGGGGAAATCTTTTTTTTTTTTACAAATCTATAAAAAGAGTTGAAAGAACTGGAAGTGGGGAGAAATAGGACAAAAAGGACAGCTGCCACAAACGGAGAAGAGCAGATAGCCAGCTCCGCTACTCCCTGTTCTGTGCCTCAGTTTCCAAATCTGAAATGGGGGGCCGGGGATTTAGCTCAGTGGTGCCACCACCTGCCTCGCAAGCACAAGGTCCTGAGTTCGATCGCAGGACCGGAAAAAAAAAAAAGTACAAATCTGAAGTGGGGACGTGCTGGTCTCTGCCTCGCAGGGTGTTGAAGGATGAAGGGAGACCCTCGCTTAGCAGCACAGGGCCCGGTGGGGAGAATGACGTGGTCACCTGACAGGGGTCCCTGTGTTGCCTGCTCCTCCAGTGCAGCCACGGAAGTGGAGGACATTGTCCTGCTGGCCCTGCTCTGCCCTGTGTGCTTGGGAATAGGTTTTGCCAATAAATGCATCTGTGCTGGAGCCAGCCTGCGTGGATCCCTCCGGGTTGGGCCCAGGTAGGCATGGGCACAGTGCCCAGATGGAGGCGGCTCCCTGAGAGCACAGGGCACGTGCTCTGGCCTTGGGGCAGGGCCCTCAGGGGACCCGGCCTGGGTGCTCATGGAGCCCTGGCCCCTCAGATTGGCAGCTCCTGACCCCAAACTCAGCAAGCCAGATAGTTTTGTTTTTCTTTTGGGGAGAACTGAGGATTGAACCCAGGGCCTTCACACTGAGCCGCATCCTCAACCTTTCTTATCTTTTGCAACAAAATTTGCTAAATTGCTCAGGCTGGCCTCTAATTTGAGATCCTCCTGCCTCAGCCTCCCAGAGTGCTGGGATTACTGAGAGTTCCTGGCTGAACAGTATCTCTGAGAGGAATCATAAAGAAAAAAAAAATGGGCCCAGGGAGGGGACACAGCCTGTCAAAGCCCACACAGGAGCAGCTTCCCTCCCTCCCTGCCTCTTTCTTTCCATGCTGGGGTTGAACCCAGGGACTGGACCCTGCTCAGCCCATCCCTCCCTGGTCCGTTTTGAAGGCTCTGGCCCTGCCCCAGCTGCTTCCCAGGGTCACCGGGACAGGACAGGAGGCTGTGGGACACTGCCCCCCACCGAGGTCAGTGTGGGCCAGGTGCCGGCTCCCTCCGGGTCCATATTTACTGTCGCCTGTCCCCAGCTGCCCTGGGCTGGCCGAGTGGATGCTGGATCTAACTGGGCCCCAGGGAGGGTGACTGGGCTGACTGCTGCTTCCTCACGAGGTGGCCCCTTCTGGGAAGATGGTGGGGACAAGATGCTGAAGGCCGGGCTGCCCCAACCTTCCCATCCTGAGGGGCCTGTGTCATTGCAGCGGGGCTGAGGAGAGACAGGGCTGCCTCAATTTGGGGGACAGCCCACCCCAGTATCTCCCACCACGAGGTGCCTGGAGCACGGCTGGGCCCCAGCCCATCAGGGTGGTGCACAGGGGCCTGGGCTGGGGCAGGATTGGGTCTCTGAGCCCTGACCAGGGCTGCAGGCCTGGGGAGAGGGAGGCCTGGAACGCAGAGGGTGTGACGGAGCCCTGAGCCCCTGCCCTGCCCCGGCCAGTGTGCCCTCCTCCGACCCTTGAGCTTTATGTGGAAATAACCTCACCTCCATGTGGCTCACCTGCAGCCGCAAGGGCCACACTGGTGTCAGGCACAAAATACCCCCAGCCTGGCAAGGAGGCATATGACAGAGTCAAAGCCTCCTGATACGACATGGTGGCACACACCTGTCATCCCAGCACTCAGGGGGCTGAGGCAGGAGGATTGCAAGTTCAAGTCCCAGTCTGGGCAACTTAGCAACTTAGGGAGATTCTGTCTCAAAATTAAAAAAAAAAAAAAAATTCAAAAAGGCTGTCGATGTAGCTGGCTCGGTCCCTGTCCGCAGCACCAAACCTCCGCCCCTCCACCTCTCCGCCCAAGCCCAGCACTGTCCGTAAAGGCAAAGAACTGGAGAGAGCAGGGGCTCAGACCCAGGACGCAGGCACCCCAGGCCTTCAAAGGGTGGTGGTGGAGAAGCCGCCAGGTCACCGGGGCTGTCACACGGGGTCACATGGCGCTGGGTCACCGGACAAAGTGCAGCAGCAGCATCGGAGCCAGGGCCGCGCAGAGCCCACGCACACGCACGCGCACACCCGTGCTGGGGACATGGCCCGGCCCGGGCTCACGCACACTGGGCCACTCTCCCCCCAGCCTCACCCCACACGCACTGCCCTTGCTCCCCTCCTCCCTCTCTTTTGCCCTCATGTTCTTCTCCTTTTCATCCCCCTTTAGGGGCAATGACACTAAACTGTGTATATCTTTTTGTTTGAACTTGTCCTTGAAAATATGTGTCATGGGGAGCCGGGCCTGGTGGCGCACGCCTGTGATCCCAGCACTCTGGGACTCTGGGAGGCTGAGGTAGGAGGATCCCAAGTTTAAACCCCGCCTAGCAACTTGGTGACTTAGTGAGATGCTGCCTCAAAATAAAAAACTTTTAAAAAGGGGAGGCTGGGGACGGGGCTGTGGGAAGCCCCTGGGTTCAACCCACAGGACAAATAGATCCCTGCCATTCTGTCAACTCTCTCTTAACTTTGTCCCCCTCATTGAACAGAAAATTTTAATTTTGATGCACTGAAATCTCTTTTCTGAAATCTATTTTGTTATTTTAATCTTAAAAGTTTCTGTACTCTTTAGTTGATGACACTACTCCCGCGTCTCTCCGTTGGCGCCAGCGTTACACCTGTCCATGAGAGCCCACTCTCTCCCACTGGAAGGCAGGCAGGAGCTTGTTTCCTACCCAGCGCCGTCTCTCTGCGCTCCCTGCTGTGTGCCTGTCCTGGCGTGTGGGCGGATGCCCCCATCTCTGGGAGTCTCCACACTGTGGCTGTGCCCCGGGACAGCCTGGGGCACCCTGTCCCGTGGTGTCACCTCAGACCCCAGGGGTACATCCACTTCGCCCAGCCATGGCTCCTGAGGTCACTGCTGGCTCAGTCAGGGGCAGGGCTCCGAGGGGTCTCAGGGTCATCTGCTCATGCCCTGGCCAGCCTAGGTCACAGGGTCCCAAACTGGGAGCATTCTCCTGTCCCCCTTCATCCTTTGTTGTTTTTTAGTTAACTTAGCTGTAATGAAGTCCTTTAAATATGTCTTAATATCATCTTCGCAGAATTCAGCTGGAAATGGCACTGGGATTACTTAAATGTCCAGGGCATGGGCCAGCGATTTAGCTCAGTGGCACCACACCTGCCTCAAAAGCACAGGTCTTGGGCCAGGGAATTTAGCTCAGTGGTTCCGCCACCTGCCTTGCAAGTGGAAGGACCCGAGTTCGATCCCCGGTACCAAAAAAAAAGCACAGGTCTTGAGTTTGATCCCCGGTACCAAAAAAAATGTCCAGGGCTTGTTTGTTTGTTTTTGAGACAGCATCTCCCCACGTTGCCCAGGTGGGCCTTGAACCTGCGATCCTCCTGCCTCAGCCTCCTGAGTGCTGGGATCACATGTGTGTGTGACCTCTTGAGGCTTCCCTGAGTGGGAATCGCTGTCCCCCTGGCAAGCCTTCCCACAGGTCCCTGAGACCCTTTGCCTGAACACCTGGGCTGTGTGGCCTCTGTCCCTGGGATTCTGCACCCCGAGATCCAGGCTCCGGCCTGAGTGCCGTGTGCCCCAGCTTGGTACAGCATCAGGGGTGGCCCGAGAGGTGACGAGGCTGACCCATGGGCGCCCGGGCCTCCGCAGGCTGGGGGCACTGTGGAGCCCCCTGCAGGTGGCTTTCCGTCCCCTGAGACACCAGGTTTGCCTAGGCTCGAGGTTTCTGGGGTTCCCATCCATGGTCGCCAGCTCAGCGGCCACAGCCTCAGCGAGGGGACAGCAAGGTGGCCTGGAGGGAGGCCGCTCCTGGGTCCCCTCAGCTCCTAGGGTGGGGTCGTGTCCCCAGACATGACCCGGCCCAGGCAGTGCTGGTCTCCGGCTTTCCAGCCGGGGAAGAAAGACCCCATCAAGGGGAGAGCGTGCTCCGGGGCCATCAGGGCGTCGGGCACCAGGGCAACGCTCTGCCGGGACAGGGACTGGGAGTGGCCCTGGGACCAGCGCCCAGGCTGGGGACCTGACACCCTCACAGAGCCACTGCAGGTCCCTGAGCGGGGCTGACGGGCCGTGTCCCTGCAGGGGCGGGGCTGGGAGAGCCCTGGGGGTCAGGAAGGGTGGGAGGGACAGCGGGGCTGGGGCCTTAGTCTCGGCACTGGGGGACACAGTGGTCAGAGCCGCCGTCCACACTGCTCACTGCAGGCGCACTGGGAGTGCACGCCGACCCACGCTGCGTGTAACGGCACAGTAGCCTTACCGATGCTTTTCTCAGCCCTAGGGATTGACCCCAGGGCCTTCACACTGATCTACATTTCCAGCCCTCCCTCCCCTTGAGGCAGGGTCTCAATAAATCACTAAGTTTCACAGGTGGGGCTTGAACCTGTGATCCTCCTGCCTCAGCCTCCCAAAGTGCTGGGATCACAGGTGTGCGCCATGGCACCAGGCTTCAGCTCCTCTAATTTTTTTTTTTTTTTTGGTACTAGGGATTGAACTCTGGTCCTGGTACTTTCAAGGCAGGCGGTGTAACCACCGAGGTAAATCCCCAGCCCCTCATCTAATTTTTAAACAGAGGTTCAAATACATGAAGCCAAACAGGTAGAACTAAAAAGAAAATTAGATAAATCTACAATTATAATAGAAACCTACAACTACTCTCAATAATGATGGAACACATAGACAGAATTTCTTTTTTTTGAGACAAAATCTCTCTATGTAGTTCAGGCTGGCACACACCTGTAATCCCAGCACTCAGGAAGCTGAGGCAGGAGGATTGCTATGAGTTCGAGGCCAGCCTGGGCTACATAGGGAGACCCTGCCTCAAAAACAAAATAAAACATGGGCCAGGGATTTAGCTCAGTGGTCCCACTGCCTGCCTGGCAAACACAAGGTCCTGAGTTTGATCGCCAGTACAAAAAAAAAAAAACCTATTAAAAACAAAAGCAAAAAACAAAAAATCAGTAGCAGAAAGACAGCTAGAAAAAA